TGTTCTGGCTACCTCTCCAGTTAGCGCATATTTTTTTTTTCAGATGCCAAAAATGGCCTCCAGAATAAAAATCTTCTCAAGGCTCCAGCTTTCACTGAAATTAGTCCATACCAAGGGAAGTGTAACACAACTACATAATGTAAAAGAATACACAAATACATTTGAGGTACAATAGATTCTTAGAAAGAACCAAAAAAATGAACCAACCTTCATTCTTTTTGCACTCAACTGTACCTCATTTTTAATCTTATCCTTTTATTTTTTTTGTTTCTTCATGAGAACTCCATTGGAGCATTGAAGTTGAATATCTAGGTTGTCAATGGAGGCCGCTGCTCATCGTCCAGCCTTTGGCCAACTCCTCACAGCAGCAACGAGCAGTGTTATCAACTGTATATACTGTAGTGTAAGAACAAAAGTCGTGTTATTTGCACCATGTTTGCAGAAGAGTGAGATGTTTGTTCCAATCTTGAACAATATGACTAGGCTCGTGACCAGCCATTTCTTCAAACTCCACAAGCTACATTCAGAAACAGCTGGGCCAATGTCAGAAATTCCCCAGGTGCCTGATAAGGCTCTGGCCTTGCAATGTTGATCACCGACATAATCAGGCCTTGCCCAACCCTTGCCAGCCCTTGTCATTTCACAGCAAACCTGACAAGATGATGCTGGGAAAATCTGGGGGGCGGTTGCCTTACAAGGCGACCATATGTCTGATGTAATGATTATTTCCACATTACAAGCTTGATGATCTCTGGTAAGGTGTGATAAGGCAAATTGGGTCTGATAAGATTAGTCCAGCCTTGTAACGTAGGCTCCAATTGCCTCTGCAGCCAACTCAAGGCTATGAACCAATTATTGATTTTTTGTGTGTCTTATAAGGTTACCTGTATCCTTTTGATCATGTTCAGCTTAAAATGATACCAAATTCCATACAGAGAGTAAAGATAATGGTGTTGTAAGGTCGACTAAAATGCTAGATATATGGATGGCCTTGGAAAGTCTCTTATATGCCTTTGTAGTGTAGTGGTATGTTGCAACTACAAATTTGTAGTCTTCATGTGAGGATTGCATGAGCTCTGAGGTTTTTAGTTCAATCCTTACTTGTTGCATTTTAATTTGCCATGTAACATTGTTAAGTCTAGACTGACTATTTATAATTTGGATAACCTTATCAGGTGATCTTATTAAGTTAACCCAAAACTGAATAAAATAACTGCAACATTGTAAGCCATTATTAGGTTAGGGGTGCCTTGAGTGCCTAATAACCCTTATTAGGCCCCAGGGAAATTTCCGACAAAATGAACACCTTTTGGCAGGGTCACGCTTTTGTGACATGGGACTTAGTGAAATATCATGCACATGGTTCACACTCTATACTGTACAACCACAATGACAGCACGACTCAACCAATACTCACCCCTTCCTTGTATTCTCACACGAATTGGGATCATGTGAACTGATTTCAGGTTTTCTGCAATGTGTCGTAAGCGCACTCAAAGCATGTGCATTCTTCATGTGAAAGAGTCCTGGATTCCCTGCACTCCTGAACATCGCATCCCTTCCACTTTCCTCACCACTTTGGATTGGTTCGAGAGCACATAGTTGAGTGATGGACAGCTGGTCACCAGAAAAAAGATGAACATGCTCCGCAGCTTCGCAGATGGGTGTCATTCTGTGCCTGCCTTGTAGATGTGATGTACTTACCTTCATCCAGTAATTGAGATGCTCCTGGGCAATGTCTACTTCATCAAAAGTATTTGTGTGACCTATAATACTCATTGCAGTTGAACTTGAAGAAAGAGTAGCAAAGTTGTTGGAGTTGTCAGACAAACGTCGCTATAGCCGCAGTCCTCAATCCTTGCAAGGTGTCAAAAAAAATCTACTTTTTCCAATCTACTGTAATCACATTATTTGAATTAAATAATCTATCTAAAGGTGTAGCCAGAAAAACTTTTTTTTGTGATGTTTCAGACTGGTGTTTTGAGGTGGGTGAATGTTTGTGGAAATTTCTCTAAGTCAGTGTCACATGCAGGGGTCCCTGCCAAACTGTGTTCGTTTGTCCCAGTCGTTTTGAGGTGTTCTTATTTTTCACAGTCTGCCTGATGTTTGTCCCCACAACAAAGCCACAACAAGTGGCAAACACCTCAGAATGACTGGCTGGCGAGTCGGCAGGGTGGCCATGTTTGTAGCTGCTACCAGATAAAATAAAATAAAAAGAGGGAAAAAGCGAACAAAAGAGAATATTTCTTATCTTATCTTATCTTTCATACATGAGCTGCAAGCTACAGACCCATTTTTCCATCTCCACCTGCATCTGGGCCATCAGTTTTCTTCTGACAGGGCCTTGTAGGTTGCCAGCTATCTCTTCTATCACAATCTACTCTGTTGCAGTCATCATATGGCTTTTTGCAGCATCTCTTCACCCTACTGCCCTTGACGTACAGCATTTCCAGCATTTTCTTTCTGCTCTGATTTTCTTTAGAGGTAATTGGGGTGCTGAAATTGCTAGGACATCTTGTGCAGGCCTTTTAATGGTTAAAAAAATGGTAATTTATGATGGGCTAGCAGCAATATTTTCAAGAACTTGGCTTAGAGGAATCAATATTTTGCCTGCTGGGGGTGTACATGTATGTCAGGTACTTTCACTTTGATTTTGGTCTATTTTTGCTTAAGCAGGATTTTTTATCTTTGCACCTATAACATGTTCTGGTTTTGTCTATGAGATTGCGATGTGATAATTTATGATGGTTTTCATTGTGTGTGAGAGCTATAAATTTTTGTAAGTCAGAGACTGCAAAAATATCATTTTCATTTCCCTTTGCATGATTACCATTCCATGCAATTTTTTCCAGTCAGGATCTTGATTAAATGCTGGTTGCTCACTCATGCATAAGCTTTGTAAACTATCAGATTAATCAGAACCCCCATCTACCAGATAATTATACAGCCATCCAAGCAAGAAAAAATACAAGAAAGCACCAGCTATATTGAAAGGAGAGTAGTATATCCAAAATTCAGCAATTCAGAATTTTGATTTCAACTGATTTACCAGTTTAAACAGTAGAATGAATAGAAATTTGGTAATAACTAATATTTGTGTAATAATCTCAACAAGCTTTAGACCCGTGCCTACGGCACGGCACTCGCTAACGCTCGGCCGTTCCTCCAGCACTGGTCACAGCTTGCCGGGGGCACGCCCCCTGGACCCCCTGGTACACATGTTTAATCCTAGTTCTGGTACACATGTTCAATTCTGGCTCTTCTTACATCTCAATCAAAATAAAGTGACATTTATCAGTACTTTTACCATTTACATCAATCTAATAATACCTCTGGATAGACTACATTTTGTGTTACAGTTTGTTGTGAACCATCTTTGAAGAGAACTTTGATACGGTTGCTTGATGTGCAACGTGAAAGAGCCACATAAAGTTGTCCATGTGTAAATACTGGGGTCCAAACATCCAGTCCTAAATGTTTCACTGACTGTCCCTGAGATTTGTTGATTGTCATGCAAAAGGCCAGGCGAACAGGAAATTGCCTTCTGCATAACTGGAATGGAAGTTCACCATTTGAAGGCTCAAATCTTATGCAGGGAATGAATGCTGTGTGTCCTGCAAATTCTCCTCCCAGAATGCGTACTTCTAAAACTCGGGAAGAGGCATGGGTGAAGATTGCCCGGGTTCCATTGCATTGTCCATTTGCTGGATCAATATTTCGAAGGATCATTACTGGTGCACCTATCTTGAGTTTCAATTTTGCTAGAGGCATTCCACTAAGGTTGATGGAATTGAGGTATTCTACTGGGTATTCAAATTCACCATCCACACCTCCTTCTCTCATAATAGAGTCTGCTGAGTGAAATGTAAATTCATTTCCATGCATGTGTAATGCCTGTAAATGAGCAGGTAAGTGTGGATACTGAATACCATTTTGGTTAGGATGCCCCATATTCTGGAAAAAAGCTTGTTAGACAGATGGAAAATAGCCTAATGGTTTTTCTTACCACATCTACCATAGCAGCAGGTGGAAATAGAGGTGGAGGGGCAGCAAGGGGGGCAGCATGAGCCTAAAAGATATATTAAATATTAGAAAAAGAGATATAACTCTGCAGCCTACCTGATTTTGCAAATTACCCACTTGTGCAGCCATCCCAGGAGTAAGGTGAAGAATTTGACCATTATATAGAACCTCAACAAATGGATCATCACCTACAGGACCTTGAGGAATTTGAAGAGGAGCAACAGGGGGTGGAATAGGGAAAGTAAGAATAAAAGGTACACCACCACCAACAGCAGGATTTTGAGGTGTTCTCCTATGCTCAGGACTTTCCAACATCCTTTCTTGACGCTCTCTTGCCCTCTCAATATTTCTATGCCTTTGTGGAGTATTAGGAGGAGAATCCCTAGGGAATAAATGATAGTTAAGTAATAAAGGCAGGGAGCAAAAGAAATATCCTACATCAAGACCAAAAGGACAACTGAAGCATATATTCTGATTACCAAAAAAAAGAGAAAAAGATCCACATATTGAAGCAACTAACCAATCAGCAAAACCTTGTGAAATCCTATCATCAAAAGTGATCAGAAGCAATCCAAGTGGACAAAATGTCAATTGAAGGTGTCTAAAAATAGTTGAAGGCTTTCCATAATGATCAAAATGTTATCCAGAAACTTACAAAATAATGTATCAGAGTTCGTGGTGGTTTGTGGAACAGTGAGGCAGGAGCAGCCTGAAGCCGTGTTGAGAAGTCTCGTGAGGGTGTGAAGTGCTTAGTAAGATAAAGCTGAATTTGTCAGCCATCAATCCTTTGTGTTTTCATGTATAGATGTGTTTTCGACTTTATGTGGTGTAAAAATATGGTGGAAGGCTGCAGAGAGGGCAGAAGTATGGTTTTCAAAGGAAGCCAGTTGCTGTCACATAAGCAGAAACATAGCCACCTGCTATAACATAAGCACAAGCCACTTGCTATAACATAAGCACATAGCCACCTGCTATTACATAATAGCAGCTACAAACATGGGCAGTCTGCCGGCAAGTCTACAATATGTGCAGCACCTGCAAATGTCTTTGGCCGATGACTAAGTGCACAGCCACCCAAAAGTTGACTGATGGTGGATGAGAGCCATTTGTCGCTAGCTTGAGACAATATGGCACCCAATTAATTATTTTTGTGAACCACAGGTGTATATAAAGCTATTTAAACAAGAACAGTCTTGAAGCTTCAGGAAGGGACAGTAAAAAGCATTGTTCTTTCAAACTCTGGGCTGGCTTACATAAGTTGATCAGTTGATGTCAAAGTCTGAGGTTCATCCATGCATTCTTGAGGGGGATATGCACAGCCAAAATGCCTTTAAATGGCCATTATAGTGCAAGAGAGTTCTTGGTCTTTGTCTTCAAGAGAAAAGCTGCACTCCTGCTCTCGAAAATGCAGCAGGATATGATTGACATGTATTATGTAAGCTAATTAGTCGCGTCAAAACACGCAATTTGCAAACCAGATTTAAGCTGATTCCAGCCTCCTTTGACCTCAATTTTTTGACCAAATGTGTTTTTAGTATCAAACCCAGGTTTTGGATAGATTTTCGCCTGCTATAGTAGCCGCTGACTGTCTCAAGTGTGTCTATAGTGTGTCTATTCACCCCCACCCCCATGCCCTTACCAAATAAATTTCTATCCAAAACCTGAGGAGATGTCCTAGAATCTTATTTGTGTCACAACTTTAGCCATAGAGAGGATGTTATGGATGGAATCCTGCATTACCTGTTTTTGGTGCCTATTAGTGGGAGCATAAATAAATACAAACACAGATTTTGATTGCGGGTGTTGCGCCTCTCCACAATATGACCTCCAGAAAGTCCTACTGTCATGTGACCCCTAATGGGTCATCAGCACTAACAGGTCAACAAGCTATAGCACCACAACAATCCATGCTATGCATTTGAAATTTTGAACAGAGTTTGACAATGTACATGCAGCTGTGTGTGGAGATTTATTGGATAGAACATTGAGCATGAGCTGAGATATAAGGGAGATAAGATGGTCACATTGTTATTTTGCCAAGTTTGCCCATCAAAGCAAGTCTATCTAATTGATGACCATTTCTCTCCACAGTGCTAGCCTCTATTGACACAAATATTTTTGAGAGTTTACAGTGGATGTATTGGTAACTCACACACAAAATTTTAAATCAGATAAGGAGAATATGGGATGTCTAAGAATATTTTACAGTTGGCTTATGAGGGCTGACCAATTCAGGGCAAATGGGTCAAGGCATTTTAACACTACCCAAAAGCATCCCTCCTAAATAAAACTTACAGATACAATATGTATATGTTTCCTCCTACTCACTCGCAAAATTTTATGTGCTCCCAATGAGAGGGAGGCGTGCAATCTACAATTTAAGTTAAAGTGACCCAGTAATGGTCACATGACAGTATTATTTGTGCCATGTTTGCGGAAGATTGACATGTTTGGTTTGCTTAGAAATATGAAGCTGGGAGACCTAGCTAAAGCGAAGTGATCAAGGCAGATAACCACCTCACAAGCCTGAGCCTCTTGGATAGCGACAACCCCCGCCCATAACCGCAATAAGCAAAAGAAACTTCCCGATTACCCTCATCGTCCTCTTTAAGTCCCCTGTTTATTGCCTATTAACTATGTAGTGGTTCCAATTGACTTTGCGAAGCCACGCCCAAAAGGTCACTGCCGCTCTACGAAATCCATTTCAGTCAATCAAAATAGGCGTTCCAGTCAAATAGAACAAAAAAAGCTCACCCAGGGAATATATTCGTAATTTTCCCTTCGCCCCCAACGCGATACCACGAATTACACTGCGGGAAGACGGATCGGGATAGTCTGGCTTGGATCTTATCGTTGTAGGCGTCCGTAGCGTCGACTTTGACCTCGAGAGACGTGACTGTTTGGGTGAGGATGGGTTTGATGAGTTGGGTGATGTATTTCGCCTGGTTGATGAGGTAGGTCTCAATAAATCAAACAATGGGTCTTAGCACACCTGGATTTCGCTGGTGTAGATAACCGACGCGTGTCCCGTTGCGGTATTGGGGCCTGCGAGATGGGTATTAGACATGGTTATAGGATAATCTGCGCTAACGCACCCAATATCGTGAAGAAATTAGGGAAGCCAGGTATAGATGTCCCAAGGTACGCTTTCGCTCCCTTTTCTGCCTCGTAGTACTCTCTTATTGTTGTTCCTTTATTTCCTCGGACAGGGATTGGGTATTGGTCCTATGAAGATATCAAACGATGAAACGTGAAACGAAGAGTATGGTGCTTACCGTGGCGAAACCGGTGGCGAAAATCAACACGTCAAAAGGAATCGTTTCACCTAAATAGAAAGGAATCAACTAATCAAAATCGGTTAAAATATGAGGGTAAATGCCTTTCTTTGTTATGATACCGCCCTCCGTAACGGCTTCTATCCCGTCCCAATTTAGCGCTAAATTAGGCCGGCGCAAAGCTGCCAAATAATTCGCGTCATATAAAACGCGTTTACATCCCATAGCTATTGATTAGCGTACAGGCCAGTCAGACATCGGAAACGATACGGAATATCGGAGCGCACGATATGTAGGAATCAGATCCTTGACATCCTTTGCAGGCGCATTTTTCTTGATGTAGTTCGTAGAGTACTAGTGCCGGAGCGGTTATTAATCACCCCTGTAAAAACACAGAAAAGCCGTTGAACGGACCTTCATAACGAGTTTGCGCAAGAACGCAATCCGGAACACGGCCATATATAAAGCCTCCATCTAGACAAGGTTCATTGAACCCCGAGATTTTGAACAACCCGAGCAGGTGGCATACCTCCACGAACACCATCCAACGCCAAAATCGCATCAAGAAAGGAATTTTCTGCGTGAGCCACCTTCGAAGCGGTGAATATTCGGTGCGGGGCTGACGTTCATTCAAATCAGACCTCGGAAATACGAAAAGACTACTGTACTCACGTAAGGCATCAGCCAATTAGGCGTCCGGCAAAATTGTATCACTTGTACGGCAGGATCTTGACTGATAATTGGTACGAATTGTGTACTGCCATCGCGCGTAAGAATTTATTAGAGCGTGTTCGCAGGGACTTACGCAGAAGCTCCATTTCCAATGACAGCCACCCTCTTCCCAGACAACTTGACAGTCTCATTCCATCTCGCGGAATGGAACATCTCCCCTTTAAACTCTCCCACACCCCGAATGCTCGCATACTTCGGCACCTCCAGTATCCCAACCGCGGAAATAAGGATATTCGCAGTGACCGTCTTCACTTCCCCTGTGATCGTGTTCCGAGTAAGTATACGGTACACTTGCGCTGCGGAATCCCATTCTGCCGAGATGACTGCGTGGTTGAAGGCGATGTGTGGGTAGAGCTCGTACTTCCGGGCGAGGCCGATCCAGTATGCGTGAATGGCGGGTTGGAGGCCGTGTGTATGCGTCCAATCGTGCAAGTCGGTAGAGAGGGAGTATAAAGGCATGGCGACATCTGATGCGCATCCCTGTATGTGTTTAAGTCAAAAGGACGCGGAGGGGAGAGAGGGTGGGGCGCACAGGGTAAGTGTTATCCTGTGTATGCGCGTTAGAATGGACTAGGGTCACACTTGAAGGAGGGATCCTGGCGTACCCTCCATGTTCCGCCTACTTCTGACGCTTTCTCGTATATCTAGAAAAGTTATCAGCTCTAGGGGTTATATCCCGAAAAAGGCCGCAGAGCGTACAGTAAAGTTGTCATAGCCCAGTCGCCTCTTCAAAGCTATTGCCAGGGCCAACCCGCCAGCACTGTTCAATTAGTTGAATGCGAAAAGATGTCAACTTGTAAGTCAATAACTCACCCAGCACCAATCACAGCAACGTTCGGACTTGACGGCATAGATCTATACCTTTGTTCACGAAGACGATCCTGCGATGTCCTGGGCGACTTTTCCAGGTGAAACCATAGCAAGTTTACAGTAAGCCGCGTTAAGTAGAATTAGCTGACAGGTCAAAAGGACAAAGATGATCGACGATCACGACGATTTGATGCATGTTGAGACTTGGAAGCTGGGAACCTTCGGTTACGGGATACCCTGATATCAGATGCCTCAACGACGCGCGTTGAGCAACGCGACACCAAGACTTGCTTGAAATTTTGGGTAGGGATAACCGTGTTTCCGAATTGGAAGTGTGAAGAATTTCAAATTCATAAATCCGAGTACTTACAAATCTGCTTGACCTCGAGCTATTAGAGCTATTCCTGGAAGACAGCAGAAGACAAGAATCGTGATCGTCGGTGGAGGTCATCACTAAAGACAATATAACGCTTTTCAGCAACCTCTGCGCGCTTGAAAATCTCCTTCAACCAACTTCTGTTCCCTGATGGACTCTAAAAAAAGTAAGATTTCGTCGAATTTAGCCTTTCTACTTATCATTGAATCCATCAAGTTATTACTGCACTATAACATCTCATCCCACTTCGACATCCCCAACCTTGACCGTCACCTTGATAGGGAACGGCGAGATACCCGCCGCGTTGGTGATTAACGGCACAGCGGACCGACCACGCTCAGACGATGTGTGACTCAGCATGGTGTGTATCGTGTTCGTGAGTGACGAGGCTAGCGTTGCGTTAAATGCTTGACAATCTGGAATGAGGGGGGTGGTGAAACGTGAGATACGGTGTACGCGAGAATGTGATAGCGGACATACCTCGATCGCTCTTTGGTTGTCGCAATTCTGCGTTGATCACCCTGTGGATTTCGACTTAGACGAGAGGTGGCATTGGCAGTAAGAGGGAGATATACCCACCACTGCTCCCATGGGACATCCTCCTCGCCCATATATACTTGAAACCAGGACTTTTTGGGTCGTTTTTCCGAGAACGTGACGATGATCTACAGGCATCAGAAACCAATTAGTAAATGATTTAGCACCCGATAAACCGCACCTGTCCTCTCTTATTCACACCACCCTCTATCCCCTTCCAAAAAGTATCCACTTTCTCGCTAACAAGCTGTTCCATCTCAGGATCGGAAACGCCTGGCTAGTCAAAACCATCAATATCATCGTCACGCGTACTCACCATCGAAATCCAGATAGACATACCATCGTCACATCAAGAACCTCAAAAGTTCTCGGCCTCACTGTCCCAAACAGCCGGTGAAATAGAATAGAGTGTAGGACACCATGGAGGACGTCCTTGGTTGTCAGACGATCAAGAATCTATGCTTGAAAAGTAACATGTGAGAGCTGCGCGTGTGATAAGATTTGATGGTGTACAAGATCTATGGTTATTGTTGGATATCCAGTGCTCATTATGGTCGTTGAAGTCGACGCAAACGATCAAGGCGAGCAGGTCAAGTGGTGGGTCAGAGGCGAAGGAGAGGATGTAAACCCTAACCCTCGGTCCGCCACGGAAAGTTCGAAGCTGGGTTCATCCTATATATAGGGTGACGACTTTTGAATTCCCCATTCATCCTTTCCTTCCTCCCCCCACCATTTCGCTCATGCCCGACCACAAGGTCGCACTCAGAACTAACAATCATCAGGTTATCGTTGGGCTATCGTCCATTGACTTCTAGAATCGGACTTCTCAAGCAAGATATTTATATGCGACATAGTAATGGATTGACGCGAATGCAATGCATGATACTCAAGCTCAAGGACGCGAATGTATGCTTGTCAGACTTGGTCTCTTTGTATCCTGACTCCTCCCACTTTCCTTCCAGGGTTTTAACGTTCCAATCTCTCCTTAAGAGCCCTCAAAAGTGAATGTATGCGTTGTTTTTGGCGCTTACAATGTACGTGATCCTTTTAGCAACCTTTCTTGAATTTGAACAAGAATGTGACGTAGGTCTCCGAGATGTTGCCAGCGCACTCAAGAGACGTCCTCGAACCCGGATGAACTTCGAGAAGGTAAATAGAACGCCCACCCCCTCTTGCTGAAGTCCTGAATACCTCGGGAAGCTCAGATAGATTCGGAGCTCGAGAGGGAGGACAGAAATGGCCTGCTCCTCGTTCATACCCATATTCGACTTCTGAAGAAGTCGTCCAACACAATATCCCGTTCCTCCACTTCACTTGGATTCTCAAAGGAGCTCGAAACTTCGAAGATGGGCAAGATTCGCGGACTACTTTTCCATTAACGCCATACACCGCTTTCGACAAAGGACCGTGCCCGCCAAGATAAGCATTCCGTACATTGAAAAGCCGAAGAGACGGTCTCCCTCTTGGGCAGCATACCAAGAGGTGTTTTCGGACACAAATGAAGCGGAAGCTTTGCGAAATGACGATAAGTCCCGCTCTGTGCAGGGAGAACGGGGAGAGAAGTTCAGCGAGAGTTGCATCGATACCTGAGTCCAGTCTTGCTAGAACAAGGGCACGTCTTCGCCCTAGGCCTCACACACACACACACATCATTCCCGATGGGGGGGGAGGGGTTAGCCTAGTAGAGCAATCTCTTCGGACACAGGACCCTCGACGTGCCCATCCCAGTTTTGATATCCACCCCTCTGCCCTTCCTTATCCATGTTCCTCACGTGTGGACATGATTATGAACGTCACACCTGCCAGGAAGGAACATCCGAGGTTAACGTGATGGGTTTTCTCTGGCCAATGGTTCGGTTGATGTCTTCGAGGAGATGCAACACCCCTACACCATTTCTCCTTCGCCAAGTTCTCGTCTAAATGGTCGGGCCTCTTATACAACGGGCGCATCAGACGTCGCATAACGCCGCACTCGCGTTATGGCTACGGCGCTATGGCCCAGCCTCTCTTGTCCTCGAGCTGTTGAAAAAAGGTGACATGTTCTCAACCACGCCTCTGTCCATGGGCATCTTTAACCTGAAGGCAGGAGTGAGGGCGGGCAGGATAAACGGGCCCCGCTCATGTTGAGAACTAGGAGATCACTGGGAGGCTCTTTCTACTTTGCCTTGCAGGAAAATGTTTACTAGATACACTCCCGGTTGACCGGTCAAGACTCTCACAATGCGTTTAGCAGACATCGTTCCGCGAGATGTTAACCTCCAGGTGGCCAGGTATCTCAAGCATATCAAATCGTCATGGGTGCGGTTTGGGACAATAATACCATTTCCCCGGTGTCGTGACGTCGACGTTTCATGGTCCTCCTACCTGCACACGTTTGTTCATCACTCCCTTTTCAACCGTCTACGCCTTCGAGAACAACATCTACACTCCTCCTTGAGACGTTCAACACTTACACTTGAGATTCCTGGAGTGACTAGAGCCCCTTGTTTCACAGGGATCAATGCATATGTTGACCGTTTGCATCATCCTTGAGACTTAGTAGAAGCTACTTAAAGTCTGGGAAGCTGTCTTGGAAGATTGACTGGTCAGAGAGTGTGCTCGAACGGTCCATCTCAACGACCAAGGTTCACATGATCGTCACCTCTGCGTACACCGTGTTCCTTCGCCACTCTATCCAAATGGCTGTTCGCGTCTATGTCTTTCCCACCCGTCACTTCCACCTCGACGAGCCGTTACTGCACGAGATGATTTCCCCTCCTTCACTCACCAGCGACTTCCAATGGTGCCCTCGAGATTCCTGCACGTTATCATGACAAACTATCAGGGATCCCTCCCAAGTTTGTGATGTCGTTCACGCTCCTTCCGTTCTCCTGCATTTGAGCCGCCGCATTATCCTTTCCGGACTCTCCTTATTCAACATGATAGCCTCTGCCACGCAAATCTCAGGCAGGCGAAGGACGCCTTCTGCCTCGTGTTGTAGTCGCAGACTGTGTCCCGCTCCCTCAACAAGAACATGATAGCTCCCTCCTCACCCCACGGATGCCACCCGTTAACATATTCGTGCTAAAACTCTCGCGACAAGAACTTGAGAGCAGCAGCATGCCAGCATCGCAGTCTTCCTGTCGATTTGATTAGCAGCACTCAAGAAAGTTTACTTGGAAGGTGGCGAAAACGTTTTCGGAGTTGAGGGAATGGAATGGCTTATGTTGCCCATAGTGAGGAGGTCAGACGGAGGGGAGCAATGTGCTGCTATCTTCGGGGGGAAACTAACCCCCCCTCTTTAACCACCTCTGGGGCGCGAGATATTACGAACTTCCCCGCTTTAGGATATATATTGCCTTCGCCGCCGTTTCTGGATGCTCTCGTCATGAATCAAGGACCGCAGGACTCTGCCATGTACCACGTCCTTCGCTCAGCAACCTTAATGTTTCCTCGCCTTCCCTGTATATCATTACTTGGACAAAGACTACACCGAACGAAGGCAGAACGTCAGTTTTGCCGGCGCGCACTCGTCCCTGTCAAGGCTATTAATCGTCACCTCAAGATTCCTCCCGTGGACCCCTTGCCCTCGCTTTCTCCCGATAAACGGTGTACATACTACTTGATGATGGTGCACTGTTCCAAGTAGAACCTTGAATACATGAAGAGTTGTTGTGCAGCCTGCAACTACCAGATGTGTCCCTACACGAAGTGCTAGCCCTCAGAAGTCGAGCCGAACCCCCTTGCCTTCCTTCCTGCTATCACAGCAAGGCGGATTGAACGCCTTGAAAACACACTCCCGAAGATGCAACAAGGCTTATTCACTCGAAAAGAGCTCGCTTGGGATAGTCGTCTAAAGCAACGCAACTTGAATTCCACCGAGAGTCCGACAACCATCTTTTCAGGTTGAATAGGCCATTCTGACCTATGTACCAAATCTATACAGTTGATAAAATACCAATAAAACTAAGCCCCCGATCCCCGCATGCCATTGTGATTAACTGTGAGACTTCATACCACCGAAAATGGCAAAACTCAGCGCAAGAAAGCTAATGAGTTGTATTGCCCGGTACACCGTCGACTCATTTCGCACCCTGTCCATCTCTCGCTCCCTGTCTTCCAGCCTCCTTCGTTCGCCAGTCAAGACATCGTGGTAGGATGGTGGGGTATACGGTCTCCCTTGCCCTGGAGGCGAGTCTTGTGAGCTCTGCGTCCGACGGTAGGCGCCACCGTAGTCATAGTCCGGAGCTGGTGGAGGCTTCCGTTGTGCAAAACCTCTAGCACGATTTGAGTACTCCCATGCGTAGCTAGCCCTAGGCCCTTTTGATGATGGTGAGCGGGGAGAATAGGGATATGGTGAAGGTGTTGGTGGGGCTCGGTGGAGAAGGCTGCGATCGTACGCACGGCTGAGTGACAGCATGAGGATAATGCTCGAGTAGTATTTGAACAGACCCTCCTACCGTTCTCGATCATTGTTTAGCACAGAATACGCTTCGCTGACAGAGTGAAAGATCTCTCGTGACTTGGGGTCCTTGGAGACATCAGGATGGTGTCTTTTGCTTAGCTGGACGCAGACTAGTTAAATTATAGCAGCCTAGATGGTGTTTGATACTCACTCTATAGAAATGTGACTAGATATTGTTCAGGGATATTTGACAGGTCAAGAAAATGACTAGTTACTTTGATTTGCGCTTTACTGGCACCATGAGGAAGCCCAAGAGTTTTGTAGTGGTCTTCTTGTCTCCATGAAGTTGAAAAAATCTGGCGGAATGGTGGCAATCGTCGTGAGCAAGTGATTGGTCGTGATGCGAAGGAGAGAGATGTGGTGGTCAATGACATCAAGGACTGTTTGACCATGTTTTACTTAGACGCTCATCCTCTATGTCCTTCCTTATGACCAACAGTAAGCGCCTTGTAAGCGCCCTCGCACCCCAGTACAATCTTCGGCTTTAGCCTATTCGAGTTTCTCAAGCCAAACTACTTTTCAAAACGCGAGAGAAGAGGTTCAGAAAATGTGGTGATTGAACTGCTGCATTTTACATGTTTCCTTATCCGATGTTCTTCAGGAAAGTTCCCGCTCGCCCTGCAGCCCGCAGTAGTCACAAGGTGGAAAGAAGCGCTCATCTCACTTGATGGAAGAGTTCGAACATCTACCATGTGCCCATTTTCTGGCTAAAGCGGTGATCTTCTCATACCTGTTGCGGAAAATTTGTCTTCTTGAAGACAGTTTTCACCTTCAAAACAGACGACGATGTGGAGTAGGTTCACACGTCAGTTCTTCATGACGTATCGCTGATCCTTTCAGAGGCTTGAATATTGCAGTTTGCGATGTTCCTGAGAAATCCGCAGCAAGTTTATGCAATGAGGCTGCAAGTGCAGGCAGACTTCCATCATTCATAGCCCAGATAGCGATAGGATCAAGTCATAAGACCACTTATCAGCACCCCATCGCCATCTTTTCTCACAGCGGGAGCTGCACCGCTATCAGTATATAAACCTTTGCTGATATCTTTCCTCCTCCAGCTTGCCACCTTCGTTTGATAACGGTCAGACTCGAGTGCAAGCCTTTCTTTCTTCGACCTCTTTTAGGCTCTTGCTGTTGCTAAACCATGCCACCTCGAATCGCATCTAATCGTGGCGGCCGCGGTGGAGGACGTGGTCCTGCCCGCGGCGGCCCCGGTCGTGGTGTGGGTCGTGGTGGCACGCAAGTTGGCCCTAGCATAGCCGGTACGTCTTTTCTTTATATCAAGATTTTTGCCTTCAAATACATTTTTTCATGTCTACTCGTTTGCTCTCGCAGACTATGTCACCACTGTCGGTGTCAAGAGGCGTGATTACGGAACCGACGGAAGTGCTATACGAATCCGCGTCAACGCGTTTGTAGCAAGCATACCCCAGTCAAAGATTTATCACTACGATGGTGAGCGCATCTAATCCTCAATTGGTTGACTAGTATACATAACATTCTTGAGTAGTTGGTGCGTGACTGACCTTGATACTATGAATTGGTTGATCAAGAAGCAAACTTTAATTTAGTCGTTGATCCGGCAAAACTCCCAGCCCGCTTTAATACGGAACTAGTCAAAATTCTCCAAGCTTCCCAGCCTACCATTTTTACGCCTCTTGTCGTCTATGACGGACGTGCCAACATTTTTGCGCCGCGTAAATTACCCCTGGGAGACACGGATTCTCGTGAGGTTTGACTTTTTTTCTTCCGAAAACCAAACGCGACGCCAATTTTCGTAATAAAACATGCAGTTTCACGTGAGCCTTCCTCAGGCGAACGGAGGCCACAACCCGACGAAGCCACCAAAGGTCTACAAGATCAAGCTTACGCTTGTCGCAGACATCAATCCCGAGTAATTTTTTTATCTCTTGCGGTAGATACACGTCTTAGTACTGATCGCCAGGGTCCTTGAGCGATTCGTCAATGGTCAACAGTCCAACGATAATACCGTTCTCACTGCCATCATGGTCAGTTGCATTCAGCCCTTCGTAGTGTCCTATATCTCCGGCCAACATGATCTGGACAGGCTTTGAACAATGTGATACGTCAAGAACCCAACCTCAACTATCCTTTCAACGTTCGATCCTTTTTCACAGATCGGGAAAAGCGGGATATTGGCGGTGGCATTGAGCTCTGGCGCGGATACTCCCAATCCGTCCGCCCTTCTATCGGACGCTTGCTGGTTAACGTTGACATTGCGACGGGTATGATGTATAAGGAGGGTCCTTTGCTCAACTTATGCATGGACTTCTTGAGGGATCGCGGCCTTCGGAGTAATTCTCCGGACGCGCTTGCACCTCCTGGATTTCCCGATAGTGAACGTATTCGCCTTCAGCGATTCATTACCGGAATGCGCGTCATCGTTGAAACAACGGGGAATAGGAAGCGGGTTATTAGGGGACTCTCCAAGGCCGGTGCTAATCAGCTCAGTTTTACTCTGCGCGACGGCACTGTCATGACGGTTGCCCAGTACTTCCAGCAGCAACTTGGGAGACCTTTGAGGTACCCTGGAGCCGTTTGCGTCGAGGTGCTCCTTTGAAATTATCAGAAATTAACACTCGGCTAATGGTGTGCTGCTTACTAGGTTGGTGCAAGCGCCCTCATTCCACTTGAGGTCTGCAAGGTCCCGAAAGGCCAGATAATGCGCAAGCAGATTCCCCCTTCAAAAACCAAGGACCTCGTCGAATTTTCGACTAAGCGACCTGAAGAGCGCCTTAGAAGTATCATGGAGGGCGTAGATGTTCGCATCACAGTTTCTTGCTCTTTTTATCTTGATTTTCCTGATATCAATCTACTAGATGCTTCAATACGGTCAATCTCAATACATCCGCGACTTCGGGATGACGATTACCACAAACACGGGGCCTCTTGAAGTTTCTGCCAGGGTCTTGAAACCACTCAGCTTGAAGTACGGCGAAGGAAGCAAACAGGCCGTAGTGGTGAGCAGATTTTTGTAGCACCTTACCAGTACGTGGACAACGCTGATCCTTCGACCACCCAGACTCCGAAAGGTGGGGCCTGGAACATGCAAGTTTTTTGAAAATTACATCAGTTTAAACTCTTACTTACCTCGAGACAGGGTTGACAAACGGTTCTATGCGCCAGCAGCCATCAAGGCGTGGGTTATCCTCATCTATGAATCGGAAAGGCGGTTTTCGTCTAGAGACTGCCAAGACATGATCAAAGGCTTTCTTCATGCTTGTGACGACGTTGGTCAGGCTATTCAGTCCTTTCTTTGTGCTTTGTTGACGCTGATATCTTCTCGTTCAAAGGCATTAAAGTGGAAGTGCGCGATCCAATTGTCAAGTATGAGAATGGGCAGGGCAACATTGCAACGGTTTGTGATATTGGCCTTCGGCTGGCCTCGTCACGAAATTTACCAAGCTTGACTAGCATTTTGACAATATTGGCAAACAATGTGTTGCCAAGACAAAATTTCTCCCAACACTGATCGTCGCGGTGCTACCAGACAACGTGGGTGACCTTTATAGCACCATTAAACAGTTCGTCCATCTCGTTTGGTTTCCGACTACTCAATACTAATGTAGGATGTACTTAGCCACGGTGACATCAGGGTAGGCCAAATCCTCTCGCATTCGTTGCGGATCCACTAAAACAGATGGTCGTATAGTTTGGCGTTGCGACGCAGTGCCTCAAGAGCCATAAATGCTCCCGCGCCAAAGAACAGTATTGGAAAAACGTCATGCTTAAGTACGCCTTCTGTTTCATGAAGATATTGAGACTGACAACGGCTTACACAGAGTGAATGTCAAACTGGGCGGAATAAATGTTGTACCATCATCCACCGAGCTCAGTGATCCAGCCAACCCAACCATCGTCATAGGTACGCCCAGCGCAATCATCGCAAGCATATTAACATTCTGTCTCTCAGGCGCTGATACCGCTCATCCGGCGCCTGGTGCACATGACCGCCCATCGTTTACATCCGTCGTCGCTAACGTTGATTCAAACGTCGCAAAATATGTCGCTAGTACTCGAGTTCAGAAGGGCCGCCAGGAGATAATTACTGATCTCAAAGAGATGTGCAAGGTACGTACTAGACAGTGCTCTTTTTTTTGAAAACTAAAGAATGCACTTCCAATGTAGGATGTACTGAAGTTGTACGGGAATTATCAAGAGAAGATGGAAAAGAAGGCCCCGAACGCCTGCAAGCCCAAGCGGCTTATCTTCTATCGAGGTTTGTTTGGCGTTGATCTCACTCAGTTGATTTATGGATATATTTTTGCGCAGATGGCGTTTCCGAGGGCCAATTTGGGCATGTTCTTTCGCAAGGTATCTTCTGCTTAATTTGCTTCCCCAGCCAATCTGACCGTTGTTGGATTCGAAGAGCTTCCTTTAATCCAAGGTTGGTGTTCAACCTTCTGATTGATACCTCCTCAGCGGTATTTTCTTTGACAGAAGCCTGCCGGGAACTGGGAATGTCCCCCAAGATAACATTGATCGTTGTGGGGAAGCGTCATCACATTCGGTAATCTTACCTTCCGCCGTCACATATTTTATCTGAATAATCTTTTTTGTAGTTTATTTCCACAAGAACAAGCGGATCGAAGTGGTAACTGCCCGGCGGGAACCGTCGCTGACCGAGGCATCGCCCACCCAACGGAATTTGATTTTTATCTCCAAAGCCATGGAGGCCTTCTCGGCACCAGTCGTCCTGCCCACTATTCTGTGAGTTACTAAATTAGTGCCCGCTCATTTTCAGTAGTGAATGATACGCGAAAATTAGGTACTTCATGATGTAAGTTTCCGACCTCTCTTGCATTTTTCAGCTGCTCATTTTGTCCACATCTCCAGGAAAATAACTTCAAGTGAGTGAAAGATTTTTTTTCTTCAAAGCGTTTAACCTTCTGATTGCTTCTCGATTTATTTCTTCGCTTCCTTTTGGTAGTTCCAATACTCTCCAAGCCTTTTCGTTTGCACTTTGCCATGTCTACGCACGCGCCACGCGTTCTGTTTCCATTCCTGCTCCAGTGTATTGTGAGTAATTCCCATTTAAGATTTCCTTCCTTCAATCTGACATCTGCAGATGCTGACATCGTCTGCGCACGGGCGAAGAACCACTACGATCCCGAAGGGAACCTTGACTTATCCGAGTCGGCAACAGGGACGGTCGACTCCGACCGCCGCGATGCAACCCTCGAAGCATTCAAGAAAGGCTTCAAGCAGGTTCATCAATATCACCGAATGCGAATGTATTTTTCTGTGAGTTAATGCTCATTCGTATTTACATAGACGCTGATATTTTTCTTTTTTTCCCAGTGAAGCAAATTTCGAAGTTATCCATCCATGACGCCAACGCGACTGACTCTACGATAAATGTACTACTAGCAACCTGACTCAACCTCTCTGATTGAAAGCTCGAAATCCCCCTGTGAAATTTGATAACCCCCATCCACCGAACTTCCTAGTTGTGTATCCTATCCAGTGCGAAACAATAAAGTTTATAAAATCCCTTTCGTGTTGTTTCGTGTCAATGAATTGTCAGAAATCGTTTTGGCACTCGAGACACCGTTCATCATCTAAACAGTTTTTCTGGATGAGTTGCGTTTCACGGGGTTCCAGCATAGGTGTATTCTGGGTGTATCTAGGGTTTATTTATCGTACCTTCCAGGAAGTGAGTGGTGTAAAAACGCTGATTCCTTCATCTTATGTATCTCAACGTTCAAAACGTGATTCGTGAATGCAACGTGAATGTGGCCCGTGGCACATTGACATGACATGCATGACATGTCAATTTGCACCAGTTTGTCACTGGCTTTGGCGATATAACTTGGAACACTTCAGTTACTTACAGGTAAGAATCGTTCTTTCGTTCTCTTGCTTATGATAACTAACACAAGGTATGCAACAGAGTTGGGTCTTGTGCCTTGTGCGCCATCTCCTCGATTGTCAAACTGGCCCGACTGGTAGCTCTTATTTTGCCCGACGCACACGGTGTGTTCTGTTCTGCAGATTATGGCAAGTTTGTGAATCTCAATCAAATTGCAGCAGACGGTCATGTTCCGGCGCTCCTTCAGATTTGGGCACGCTCTCGCGCTTGTCAAACCATCCTCCAAACCCCATCTTAGACGGTTCATTATAGGTGCAACTGGCGCCGTAATACTTGCTTCGTCACTCAAGACCATCCACGGGGACACCCAACCCCTCAATCGACCTCCAAAAGACTTTCACAGCTCGAAGGACGGCAAGCCTCAAGGTCCCACAAAGGATGATCCTTCCGACAGGCTTCGTAAGAGCCTCGACAAACTCGGCAAGGACTTCAGCGACCTCCCAGATGATCCTGGAAGCGACCATGCATTCTCCGCCCTCAAGAAAATTAACGAGGACCTCGAACTACTCGGCAAGGCAGTTGAAGAATTCCAAAAGTCCATAGAGGCCCTTGGAAAGGATACCAACGCACCCCAAACCGACGACGACCAGGTCGTGCATCAAGCACTCACAACACATGCCGCGTCCTTCATACCCGACACACAATCAGGCGTAGCGCGCTTTGACTCTGTCGTCGTTCCCAGGTCTGCACTATCCCCTACCACCACAAACCATATATCATCCAACTAATCTCCCAACCAGCAATGTCCCCTCAGAAGACCACATCTCCTCAACATTCTGCCACCTCCCCACCCACTCCTGGTCCATCTTTGGCGTCTTCGATGGACACAACGGGCCCGCCACCAGCCACTTCCTCAACTCCAACCTCCTCAACGCCATCATCGGCGCCCTTGCCGACCTTTACTCCAAACACGCGCCCATAACGCGAGAGCACACCGAGCTCGCCACGGAACCTGGCTCAGGGAGACCAGAGCCCCCACCTGAGGAGATAGATCGGGCTATCAAGGAGACGTTCTTGCGGGTCGATGACGAGATCGTCAATTGGGCGGTTGAGCGTGCACTGAACCAAACCTCGAAAGAAGCTGCAGTTAATCTGTTGGCTACAGCCCACGCAGGGAGCTGTGCCCTCGTCGGCTTCTACGAGTCAGACACGCGGTTGCTTCGCGTAGCGCTCACGGGGGACTCACGTGCCGTTCTTGGTCGAAAAAAGGTCTCGAAGAAGGGGAAGGAAACGTACGAAGTGCACGTACTCTCTCAAGACCAGAACGCACACAACCCAGCTGAGGAAACCCGCATGTCCGCCCTTCATCCGGGTGAGAAGATCATGGACAACGGACGCGTTCTTGGCTGGGGGATGTCCCGTGCTTTTGGCGACGCCGCGTATAAATGGAGCCGCGAGATCCAACAACGGCTTGCTGAGGAGTTTTTGGGGGATAGGGTACGTGAGAACGTCAAGACGCCTCCGTATTTCACTGCTGAGCCGGAGATAACGACGACGGAGGTACAGCCGGGGGATTTTGTGGTTCTTGCCACTGATGGACTGTGGGATTGTTTGACGAATGAGGAGGTGGTGGGGTTGGTGGGCGTTTGGTTGGATAGACAGAAGGTGTCAAGTGCACAGAAGAGTGGTAATGAGAAGGTGTGGGAGAGGGAAGAGCTGCCTGTGAAGCTGGAAGAGGACAAGACGGTCATGTACCGGTGGTGGCGCGCCAAGAAGAGGTTCATCGACGTTGATAATAATGTTGCTGTGCACCTGGTGAGGAACGCACTTGGGGGTGCGGATAGGGATTTGACGACTGCTCTGCTTTACTTGGAGCCCCCTCGTTCACGGAGATATAGGTGTGTGTTATGTGCTTCATGGATTGTATACAACGCTGATGAGAGATATGTTCTGTAAGGGACGATATTAGCGTGCAAGTCGTGCTGTTTCAATGATTTCGCTCTCTTTGATGTCTAGATGTTAAGGATACATCGATACCCTTGAGACGATTCTCTAGGATTCATTATACATGCGGATCTCACGTTATAGAGGACGTAGAGATTGGTGAATATTGCGTATTACCCTTCTTTTGTACCGCACATCCACCAACCTCGGTTCTATAGCGGGCCATGACTGTCTCTGGTCCCCTGCAAATACTTATTACCCGATGGTTTGAATGAAGATGGAAGCACTGGAAGCGAAAATTACAGAAGCTGGCAATTGAACCTAAAGTAACACACAGGAGTTCGTTCCTCATGTTCCTACAAGCATCTGAGCTAGGAATAACTGGCTCCCCCCTCATCTGAGTTGTGACTTACTCCCCATTGTTATCTTGGTTCAGCCTGGACAGAAATATGTCTGAAAGTCGCGCGTTCCGGATAGCCTCCCTCCTCCCATTCGCGGCGCGAGCGCAAGCCCCCAACTTCGATTCCGATCCGTCGTCATTCAGAATCTCGAAGAGGGCTCGTCATGATCGTCTCCTGAGTCACAGCTGGCGGCATTGATGTTGGTGTCGGACTAAGGGGAGTGCGTTGAGCGAAACGAAACCTTGTAGCTCTCTGTGTGGCAGGTGTCAAGGCCTGTAAGAAAGATTCGTCAGGTCATGTTGACATTAGGTTCTGCCAATGAAGGATGGGCCATACCAGTATTGATTTCCTGCCAACATCGTGCCGTGAGACCAATTATCCCACCTCAGTGACCGGATTCATGTAAACGACGGATTTCACATCTGGCGTCTTGTGTTCGAGTAACCGTCCCGCTCGTGTAAGCAGGGAAAGAGGTCCTGGGGAAAGAATTTCTGTATAAATCTCTAGGGCAAAGTTTGACTGAATGAAAGAAAGACATGTACCGTACCAGGGGACTGCCTGAACCAATGTAGTACATCGTCTCACCCGGGAAAGGAATAAGTCGACCTTCAGGTGCTCATAAGTTCGTGCAGCGCTGCCCTCAGCTGGACTTATGAAAGCCCTGTTGCCCATACCACCACCTTGATCGAAGCCGACATATCCAGGAGATGGACCGACTAACCGCGGGCTTGAACGTCGATTATGACGCTAAGAAAAATACGAACGAGTGAATCAGCAACATCCTGGCACCCGCGTACACGAAGAGAACACCTACCTCAAAACGTGTGAATCCGCTTCCGTGCTCGCCATTGAACAAGAACCAACTGGAGGGCCTTTCAGAACTTTTTCCGCATCGGTGCTCGTCAGCCTCACCCAGGGTAGGACACGAATGGGCAAGGACGCACCTTACCCACACTTATTGACCAACAAACAAGAACAAGACCACGGGTAGATGAAGCACTTGTAATCCCAACCTTGACATGCGTTGGGCATCATTTATCGTGGATCCTGGCCCACAACTCTCGCTACCAGGATTTTTCAATCCACACACAGAAAGACTCAGTGTTAGACGCACATCGACAAAAGGAGGAGAAAAGGACGAACGCACAAAAACTAAATCAGCCCTCTACTCCTCCGACAAGTTTTGCAACAGGTCACCCGATTCCTTGGCAGACATGGGAGACATGGGAGACATGATTCGACGTTCCTATTCAGGTGCATCGCCAACGACAACTCCTAATTTCTACGAATGTGGTCCCGCACTGCCAGCGTCGGATAGGTAAAGAACCGCAGGTGTGAGACGAGATCAATCTGGCCCGATAGGTGTCTCCTACAATCGTGTCTCGAACCTGTTCGTTATCCAAGCACGCCCGCTGTATAAAAGATGATTGAGGCGGCACCAGGTTCACGCTGGTTTCGTTTGAACTCACTGATTTGCCACCCTAGTCAAGACTGTGACTTATTCCCTCCTCTCTCCCCCGTTGAATGCATGCATATCGTCCTTCAAGCTTTGCAGCTCACTTTGTGATGTCACGATCTGCCCCACTTTGCCCGCGAACCGTTCAAGGGGTGACTGGTTGACCGGTGGGGATGGAGGAGCGGATTGGAAGTTCTGGAGAACGGTTTACATGTCGAAATCGAGCAGGGGAGTTGAGGAAACGATGGAGTGTATACACACAGTACATTGGGTAATGCAATGCGCCCGCCCAATTTATGGTATAGGAACGACGAGGAAGAGGTAGGCCCAACCTAAATAGGGCCCCGGCCGATATTTCACTCCTGCTATCCCGAGAATATAGATGACGCGTCTAAGTGTACGTATATGCTGTCAGTAGGGATCACTCAAAAAAGTCAAGCCAAAGATGCATACGAACTTTGTTCACGAAGCAAATTCTGTCTTTCGTGTAGGAACTGTTCTGAAGAGAAGGTCCACGGCCAAAACCCCCCTCTAGCACGACGATACGACTCGACGTCGCAAGTCATGCATCTTGCGAGCATGGTAGTCTTGCACACAAACGTTCGCGCTTCTCCGAACCAGCGCCCAACGCGGCAGGAGTCAATGTTGGGCTGTGCTAGTGAGCGCTTCGCCCATGGAATGTGCCCCGGCAAAATGCGAAAAGATGCCTCATGATCAGCACGAGGCAGAATGGGGTTTGCTGCATTCAAGTGGTCGCTTCTTTCTTTCCGCCCCCATCTGTTCCGCTACAAACATGAGTGGAAAAAACGTCCTCCCAGATGCTCGTAATGTTATCATAACAGGTGGCATCATGCCTGCCGATATTGTACGTGATGTCACCAATGCCTAAGTTTATCCCGTGCTCATTGGTACCACAGATCAGTTACAACATTAGCCGTGGCGAAAGAACGACATCCGATGCAGCGATTCCTGCAAAACCAAACTCAAGCATTCGTTTCACAGGCGGGACTGATGTTCTTGCAAAACTGAAGGAACATTTTACAGCGAAAAGCACTGATAAACTCAACCATAGGAAATTCTTCTTGTTGTATGGCATGGGGGGTATTGGGAAGACTCAGATTTGTTTGAGGTTTATTGAGGACATGTCTGATTAGTAAGTACTCCAGCATAATACTTAATTCCTGTTCTCATTGGTCCCCAGCTTTTCCCATGTTTTCTGGATTGATGCATCTTCAGCTGGTACGATCACACAGGGACTGAAGGGAATCTGCAACCTTCCTGAGGCTCAGTCTTTTGCACTGGATGGCAGTCCTCAATCTGCTTTATGGTGGATCAGCTCCCTGAGAGATAACTATGTAATGGTCTTTGATAATGCTGATAATCTGACACCTGGAGAACTGGAGCAATATTTTCCATCTGGGCTAGGGGGGAATATTCTGATAACTAGTCGCAACTCTGGTCTAAAGCATCTGACTTTACATGAGAATTCTCTTGAGGTGAAAGAGATGGAAGAAAATGATGCTATCTCTTTACTCTTAAAGGCTGCTTGCTTGGATGAGTCTCAGGAAAATGTACAAGCTGAGGCTTCCAAGATTGTGAATGAGCTCTTTTGCATTCCTCTGGCTATTGATCAGGCTGGTGCTTTCATTGCTTATGGGGACAGAGACATCAGAGACTATCTTGATGAATATTCTCAACACAGAGAAAGATTATTATCTTACCCAGCTTTCAAAGGGGCATCTAAATATAACAGAACTTTGTATGGGACTTGGGAGCTATCATTTGAAGAAATTCAGCAAAGGGCTAAAAGTGATGATTCTCACAAAGCTAAGGCAGCTAAGAGTGCAATGTTTCTGCTGGCAATATTTGCCTTCTTCCATTTTGATGGTATTACTGAAGAAATTTTTTCTTATGCTGCTACTCAAGAGCATAAGGAATATGGAAATAATGAGCAGAGGTCTGCCTTACCTCTTGCAAGCTCTGTTATAGACCATACACTACTTCAGCTTCATAACACAGGAAAATGGGATAATTTCATCTTCAAAGAGGGAGTTCGAATATTACTGTCTTTTAGCCTGGTCAAACTGGTTTCATCCAAAGGCATCTATACCATGCATCCACTTATTCATGCATGGGCAAGAGATAGAATGTCCTCAGAAGATAGACAGAAATACTGTTTAATGGCATATGTCATGTTAGCTTGCTCTCTGTCAGGAGACTTTAATAAGCAGCCATATCAGTTCAGAAGGATTTTAGTCACTCATCTGAGGGCCAACATGATGCATAGTGTAATGGCAAAGAAGGAGGATAGATATTTTGATGATGCTCATGAAAAGTTTGGGAGATTGTCAATGGAACAGGGGTATAGTACTGAGGCAGAGAAGTTTCAAATTCAAGTACTGGATGAAAGAAGCAGAACTCTTGGAGAGGAGCACCCAAATACAATTTCAGCCATGATTAACCTTGCAGTACATATGGGAGTCTAGGAAAATATGCAGATGCAGAGAAGCTCGAAATCCAAGTTCTAGATATGAGAAATAGGCTGCTTGGAGAAGGACACCCAGATACAATCTCAGCCATGAATAATCTTGCATTGTCATATCACAGTCTAGGAAAATATACAGATGCAGAGAAGCTTCAAATCAAGGTTCTAAATATGAGAAACAGACTCCTTGGAGAAGAGCACCCAGATACAATCTGGGCCATGGCTCATCTTGCAAGTACATATGGGAGTCTAGGAAAATATTCAGATGCAGAGAAGCTTGAAATAAAAGTTCTAGATATGAGAAACAGACTTCTTGGAGAAGAGCACCCAGATACAATCTGGGCCATGAATAATCTTGCATTGACATATCACAGTCTAGGAAAATATGCAGATGCAGAGAAGCTCGAAATCCAAGTTCTGGATATGAGAAATAGGCTGCTTGGAGAAGAACACCCAGATGCAATCTCAGCCATGGCTAATCTTGCATTGTTATATCACAGTCTAGAAAAATATACAGATGCAGAGAAGCTTCAAATCAAGGTTCTAAATATGGGAAACAAACTTCTTGGAGAAGAGCACCCAGATACAATTTCAGCCATGAATAATCTTGCATTGTCATATTACAGTCTAGGAAAATATGCAGATGCAGAGAAGCTTCAAATCAAAGTTCTAGATATGAGAAACAGACTTCTTGGAGAAGAGCACCCAGATACAATCAACGGAATGGAAAATCTTGCAATAATAACCTGCAATCTACAGAAATATACAGATGCAGCCAAGCTAGAAGTCCAAGTTGTAGATGTGAGAAAGAAGATTTTTGGAGAGGAACATCCAGAAACAGTCCAATCGGTGGCATTACTTGCACAAATTAGATCTCAAGCCAACACAAATCCTACAAAAACTGAATCAAAGAAAGGTGGTGAGTCTTATCTAGTCTAGAGGGAAAGAGCACCCACATACACCATGTATAATTTTGCAGGTACATATGAGAGTCTAGGGAAATATGCAAAAGTTCTAAATATTGCAAAGAAACTTTTTGGAAAAGACCGCCCAGCCATGGCAAATCAAGAAACACCATACCATAGTCTGGGAAAGTACACAGATGCAAAAGAAATAATGGCTCCAATTCCAGACAGCAGAATAAAAATTTCAGCACCAGAACCCCCAGATGTGAGGGCCAATGATATAGCTATAAAACTTTTACAAGGCACAGTGGCAGACAAATTGCAGATTCAAGGTCTGGATGCTGGAAAGGAAGTAGTTGAAACAGAACACCCACACATAACTGTAGCCATGGCAAACCCTGCACCAAACAGCAAACAACTTGTACTTATAGCCAAAACTGCTTTGCAGCATCTTCAACAATGTGAAGCTGAAATCAAAACAGCTTTGTCACTCTCAGGGATTTCTGAGATGGACCACATACTTCTTGCTGGATTTAATGAATCTATCATCCACTCTGGTATTGGATATCTTGAGGAAATCCATATAATTTTGAAGAGTGAATTCCCCCCTGACAATGACCTCTTGTCTTCTCTTGGTAGAATTTTTTCACCGTTTCCTGGAATGATCTTCACTACTCTCCCACCTGGCTGCTTCAAGACACCAGTATTCAATAGTGAAGGAAAGGCCCAGGAATGGGATGAGGTTGTCTTTACACAGGCTCATACATATTCAAATCTTCAGATGGGAAATAAAATGAAGGAAATGGAAATAATGTCAGCCAATATTGATCCCAATGAAGGAAAAGTCCCATCTGGCTCGGGAAGTGGAGGTGATGATGGAAATGAAAAGAAGCAAGGGGACAACATGCCCCAAGGCAGGAGGATTGATAATGATCCTCAGAGAGGTAGCAAGAAAGATTCTGAGGGGGATGATGATGGCTCCAAGGAGGATGACCCAGATAATCCAGACTCAAAAGACCCCTCTAATGCTGACTTACCTAAAATCTCCTTCACCATTCAAACTGAGATCTATCCCCATGGTGAAGTACTGATTGCTTCAGAGTCTTCACCACCAAAGCCTTCCAAGTACATCCAATCACTACAGCTTGAAGGAAGCATTACTATTCAGACAAAATCTCCACAGCTCAAACCAAGGTGCCAAGCAAGCTCTTGTATTCAGTTCAAGGATCTTAGACTCCAAAGTAAATCAACTGTGGATCCTGCTCATTACCACCTTGCTCACTGTGAGGCAAAAATAAACACAAGAGAGGAATTCACTACATTTCATAATGTGAAACCAGCTTCTACACGTGCAGCTGGTTCTGAGAGCAAAGTTGTTGAAGGGAATAAACAAACAGATGCTGGTGCTGCTGGGATCACAGCTGGAACTAGTAATTATATGCCCACTGTGTCAGGTTCATTTGCAGGAACCAGAGCAAAGGAATCATCATCAACAAAGGAATTTACAGTCTTTAATTCAAAAATCACACATTCACATTGGAATGGGGCTATCTGGTGGAAGTTTATTGTCAATGACTGTTATCACCAACGGGATGGATTAGACCTGCAAGAATTGGACACTCTTCCATATGTAACATGTACATTTCAAGGCAGCTCTGATGATGCACCACCTCCCCCAGCACCTGATTTGTTTGGTGTTGAAGTTATGTCCTGTTGGTCATTGATTTCATTGGAAAGCAATTCCTTCTCTTGGTTGAGACCTTGGCTAGCCCTTGGAAGTTCAGAGGTGAAACCACCTACTCCTTATTCAAATCTTTGCCAGATTATGGAGCTGGATTTACCCTCACAATTATCAAAAGATTCTTACTACAAAGCTGTTGCAAAGGCAACACCCTCTGGCAACTGGATCTTTGATGCAAAGCGTAAATCCACACACCAGTTTCATCCCTACATGATATTCTCCAATTCAGAAGAGGATAAAATGTAAGTGGTACTTTCTAGAATCTCAACTTTGGCTGACATCTGATCTATACAAATTTTTGAATCAAGTTTGGGCTTTTAGGTACTTGTGTTTGAGGTTCAGATCATATCAAATTCATGTCAAGTTGGTTCTCAGCTCTTTTTTATGATAGCTCTAAAAAATAAATAAAATAAAAAATAGGAATAAAAAATAGTACTGGACTTAGTTACTCATCAGTGCAGAAAAATTGCTCTGAAATGTATTTTCTTTGATTACTTTGATTTCAAAATGGAACAGAAATCCAAAATATGTTTCTACCCCCTGTAGTCTTTGATCCAACCCTGGTTTACAAAGTACTGATCCAGCAAAACCCAAATGTACTGAGACAACCCCCATTATTAGATATATAAAGTACTGATCTAACCTTTTTATAAGTACTGATCCAGCATTTTCCAAGTACTGATTCAACTCTTTTGGAAGTGCTGATACAACCCCAGTTTTGATGTATTAAAGTACTGATCCAACCTGGGTTTTGGTGTATCAAAGTACTGATTCAACCTGGGTTTTGATGTACTAAAGTACTGATCCAACCTGGGTTTTGATGTATTAAAGTACTGATCCAACCTGGGTTTTGGTGTATCAAAGTACTGATCCAACCTGGATTTTGGCATATCAAAGTACTGATTCAACCTGGGTTTTGATGTATCAAAGTACTGATTCAACCTGGGTTTTTTACTTACCATATTTGGATTATGATCAATAATTCTTTTTGATTGATAACAGATAAGCTACATCTTGGCCACTTACCACCACCATTCTAGCCTCTGCTATACCACCACCACTCTAGCCTCTGCTATACCACCACCACTCTAGCCTCTGCCGTACCATCACCACTATAGCCTCTGCTGTCTCTGCACTCAAATATGCCATCAAAGCAATCAGGTCTCCAATATGCTACTGTAACTGAAGAGAAAGATGGTTCTCTGGCTTGCTCTTGTCAAGCATTTGATCAAACTGGCAAAGCTTGTGTTCATATCAAGGCTGCTAGGCTCCAGATTGCCTATGGACCAGTGACTGACTATATTGGTATGTCTTATTAGTCTTCAACTAAAAGAATAGCTGTACTGATGGAACTTAAGAACTTGAGACTATACAGAAAACTTGGGGTATCAAAGCAAAGGGCCAGAAGCAGAACCCTTCCAGGCCTATCAAGGGCCGCCATCATCAAGCTGTCTCTGATACAGCTGTTTCTAGGGAGTTGGATAAAATTCTCTCAAAATTAGAGGATGATTCTGATTCTGAGCCTCCATCTACTCTACTTCCGATTTCTGATAGTGATGAGGCTTATCAGTCTCTGGATGTCAAAATCCTTCAGAAAGGTATGTTTTATTTTGGCTCTTCTATTGATGACTTATTAATGAACTTTGAGGTCCTGGAGTCACACCAGGCAGACCACCAAAAGCTAAACCACTTCATCCTAATCGCACACCAGTTCGGTTCAGCCAGAAACCAGGACCCAAGCCAAAACCTCATAACTCTCTTTTACCATCTCAGTCAAAATCACCAACCAAGCCAGTCAACTTTTCTCCCAAGAAAAGTCCAAGCAAAAAGTTTCATTCAAACAAAAACAATGAATCAGATGAGGATATGGATGATCTTGAGGTAAATATAATATTTCAAAGTTTTTTTGGCTGATCAAGCATTTCAGGAGTTTAATCCTGATGAACAGCAGATGTTTCAATTGGATTATTCATGCTGGAATTCAGTGAAATATCAGCTCCGTCAGGATGAAATCATTGGTATTGTGGAAGTGCTTAATTCAATCAACACAGGAATATCAGGATCAACATTAGTTATGTCTGGTGGTGCACAAACAGTTGCCAAACATAAGTGTTTGACAGATTATCAGTCAAAACCTCAATCTAGATTAAATAGATCAAAAAAGATCAATAGAAAAAGAAATAACCAAGAATTACGTACATGAATCTTGACTTTCCAGGGACAACTACCAGTTTTTTGGCTTGCCTTCTTCACAACTCCCTTCTTTTCAATCTGCTGATCAACTCCCATAGCTTCTCTTCTGTTTTCCTCATTCTCATCACTAACATCTTCATCCTGATCTTCTTCAGCTGCAGATTCTTCTGACTCTGGAGCTTCAGCATTGCATCCACCAAGACATTGATACTCAACACAGAAGATAGGTCAAGATTCATCCTTATATTTTGAAGGAGCTTTGCGATTTTCAGTGGTCCAATTGAGAATAAATGGACGAGCACATATCTCTTTAGGCCGATCGCAAGGATGACCAAAAAATTGCATGGAAACAAGTCTGCTGGAGATTTTATACTCTTGAGGTGAGTAGCCATTCTCCTAAAAATCAGAAAAACAATTAGTATCAGGATTCAAATTTTTGAGAACAAAAGATATCACCCAATCCTGGAAAAGCTTGTATAAAACAGCTGTTCCTGTTTTCCCTAGACATTTCCACCCATCTCTCTCTCTTTGTTTGATCATATTCAGAGGTCTCATCTCTGAAGAATCAGCAGTTCCATGGCGTGGCTGTCGAACTGATTCTGCTACAACTGGAATCTGCCAAATCGATGTCTGCATACTGAATTGAACCATCTGAGCAGTCTGGGGAGTGTATTGATTGGCAGTAGTATCCTTCTTTCCAGCCTTATTAGGTGGTGTAACAGGCCGAAGAAACTGAGAAGTTGCAATGTTGTCCTGGTCATCGGGAATAGGGTCAGTTCTAGCCTTCTGATCTGTTTTCGATGGACGACCAGGTTTTTTGCAAGTGGGCTATATACAGATCTCACTTCAGAGTCTAGCTCAAATAAATATAAATACTGGACCTTAACAGGAGGCTTTAGTTTCTTAGCCTTGGACTGCAAGTCAGAATCATGATTCTGATCATCAATGTCCATATTGTCATCTGAGTCAAGGATCTGCTGGTGCTTGTGCTAAAACACACATGTTAGATTTTCCAATGAAGATTTGCATGTACTTTCTACCTTCTTAAAGCTCTTTATCACACATCAGTGATATTAGATGGGAAATGAATCAATCTAACAGACTTACCTGACGTTTCTTGTGACCTTTAGCCATAGTATGGAGAGGAGATGGTGGTACAGAGTCAAGATTACAATAGTTGTGGCAGGTGCATGCAGCTGATGGCAGGTGTCCAAATTAGGAAATTTGAAAAACCAGGGTTGGATCAGTACTTTTGTGAGGCAAAAACCTGGACTGGATCAGTACTTCTGTAAGGCAGAAAACAGGGTTGGATCAGTACTTCCATAGAACATTTTAGGGGCTGAATCAGTACTTTCATGGGAGATACTACAGGCTGAATCAGTACTTAATTAAACAAAACAGGGTTGAATCAGGAGTTTAAAAACTATAAAACCCAGGGTTAGATCAGTAGTTGAACATTCAAAAGAAGGGTTGTATTAGAACATTATATACCAGGGCTACATCAGTAGTTTAAGAGCTTGTAAAGAGGGGTTGGATAAGTAGTTTAAAACTTCAAAAGCAGGGTTGTGTCAGTACTTTGAGAGCTTGAAAAGAGGGTTGGATCACTGATCAGTAGTATAAAACTTCAAAAGCAGGGTTGTGTCAGTACTTTGAGAGCTTGAAAAGAGGGGTTAAATCAGTACATTACAAACCTGGGTTGGGTTTGTAGTTTCCTTAAGGTTGAATCAGTACTTCATATTTAGTTGGATCAGTACTTTTATTTTGGGGGTTGGATCAGTACTCATAAAAGGGGGGTTGGATCAAAGACTACAGGGGGTAAAAACCCATCTTGCAACAGAAATTTATACTATGTAAAACACTGACTCGGAATCAAGTGTTGTCAAATTTGACCACAAGTTCATGTTTTGTGTTACAGAGATAGATTTTTCTACTCAATTTCTTGTCTGTTCTGACTCTCTTAAGATTATCTATCCACAATCATTGAAAGGTATGGTATCCAGAAAGCTATAATGTATAGTGTTTGGAAGTCCGGTCTCGTGACTGGAAAAAGACTGTAACCAGACCGGACCAAGACCGCAAAAGACCGGACCTGCGGTTACGGTCTTTTATTTTTGAAATGTAAAGACCGCAAAAAGACCGGTTAACGTGAACCGGTCTTGACCGGTTTGGACCGGTTTTTTGTAGCCCCTTAAATACCATTTAAAACGCACCCAAGAACGTACGATTTGGTAAAAAAACGAGAGAGATATGAATTAAAATGTAAATTACTTTTGGGAATAATAGATGTACCAGACTTATTTTATAGAAGCACCAATACCTAACGGAATTTAACGTTCTTGGGCTCGTTTTGAAGCTATTAGAGATGTTAATAAATTTACCGATTCATAATTTTAAAATATTGGCCTAAAGACCGGTCATAAACCGGTTAAAACTGATGCAGACCGAAACCGGTCTATAGACCGCAAAAAACCGCGGTCTGCGGTCTTTTTGCGGTCCAGTCTGGTCTTTTGACTTCTGGGGAAAAGGCAGACCGGTTACGGTTACGGTTAACGCCCCTGGGCATCAAAAAACCGGACCGAACCGGACTTTCAAACACTAATAATGTATAACTTTGAAACCAAGTGTTTGTACTAGAGGCTAGAGCCTTTGTAGTGTCATCTACGCTGTCCACAAGACGCGCCACTCAGACAGCTGCCAAATAAAGGTCAATACACGCTTACGCTTTGGTAATCGAACACACTTACACCCCGCTTTCAAAGGTTTGCGCCTTGTTATACTGATGTCTCAGCCCCGCAGCGAGCAGATCCCTTGGCTCTTGAAATAGGGCCATATTGAGTCTACCCAGCCCTGTATGTATACGCCCTTGCTCGTCGTTGTTTACTGTGGCCGCAAGAGATGCATAGTACCCCGAGCTTTCGTAAAGGTGATCGAAGGACCTTTTCTCAGGAGAGGGCATGCAGTTCTGTTGAAATCTTCCAAGAGAGTGAATGTGAAGCTACGAAGGTATGATAACCTGCAGGAGCCGCGAGCATACTGGTCCATTTACGCCTCCTTAGCCCACTAAACATCACCATTGTTCACCTTGTGTAAAAACGACGTATCTCAATCCGCAAAGCTGACACTTGCGATCCAGAATGCAGCTTCGTAAAGCTGATCAAAGAAGGTCAGTATATGTTCGTAATTCTGATTTTGAAAGTGTATACTTACACCTTGTCTCAGGAGAGGGGCAGGGCGAAGCACCGTTTGTCTTTTGAAATCTTCTGAGAGGGTGAACGCGAATCTATGAGGGTATGTGAGTGTCATAATGATCTGCAGGAGTGTACTGACGTACCTTCATCGTTCAGCATGTCCTGGTTCCGTTGATGCCTCCGTAGGCCCCTAAACATCACCATTGCTGCTTTAAAGTGTTGTGACAACATATTTCCATCTGCAAGACTGGAACATGCAGTGGACGTTGCTTTTGAAGTCTTCCGAGAGAGTGAATGCAAAAGTACGAAAGGTATGTGAGTGTCATGCTAATCTGCAGGAGCATACTGACGTACCTTCATTGTTCAGCGTGCTCTGGCTCCGTTGACGCTTTCTTAGTGTATCTCCATTGTCCGCAGAACTGGCGCATGCAAGCCAGAACACTCGTCATCGGTTCGTTGGCTGAACAAAGCATCATCGTTTCCTTTGAAATTAACGTATTGACTTATGGTCCTTGTGTATGTGTTTGCTCGAGAGGGTGAATGCGAATCTACAAAGGTATGTGAGTGTCATAATAATCTGCAGGAGCGTACTAATGTGCCTTGATCGTTTAGGGTGTTCCGACTCCATTTACACTGCCATACTTAGCCTGCTAAACATCGCCATTGCTCGTCAAGACCAAGTCAAGACAACATATCACTGTCCGGAAAACTGGGACACGCGATACAGAACGCGGCTTCATATGGAGTGTCGAGTAAGTACATCAACAGGACTACGGCTGTCAGTGTTGTGCAGAAGATGCAATGCGATGTAAATACTTACTTTGGGCCATTCTTTACGATCCCGTAGCGTATGTGCTCGTTTTGCGCAGTCCTGCAACCTTCTGGCCACGTTCATGCATTGGCTTGCATGTCCACCCTTCGCATTATTGTTGCCTTGTTCGTTGTAGCTGGTAGAACAAGATCTGATAGCTGGAAATTTGTATAGAAAGGGATTGTGGTACTTACTCACTGTTGCATGTGTGTGCGCTTCGTTGAGTGTTGAGCTTGATTTGTTGTTGGATACTTTTGGCTGTCCTTGTGTGTATCGTTGAGTTTTGAACGTTGAACGCGTCACTAATTATCATGATGTCACGACTGCCCATCATCCAAGATGCCAAGGCTGATGACGACAGCACTTATCTTAAACTTCCTCTGCGAATACCTGCAAGAGGAACAGCGTAAACCTAGGCGGCGATAACCATATACCTTCGAACCAAAGTTCCAACTTCCAGCCAACTTTGTAGTGGAATTCTTACCATCATGCCCAGAACCAGAAACCCCCTCAGCCTCTCGCACATTGTCGACAAGATCGAGGGCACAGTTCAACATGCCCGAACTACTGTCTCCCCACACAACCCGAGACCATCTCTTGACCAGACGCTTGCAGCTCATGGCCTTGAGATTCCTTACATTGATTTGCAGATGCAGGTGACTGACTTTGTTCTTTGCACAAGGGTTATCTAACAAATATGTATGTAACAGTTCATCGGCGCGTCAGGACTGCCCAAGATGGACATAGTGGGTAGTGCAGATCCATATTTCGTCGCAAACCTTGATGGAAAGCTGTCTTTCATGTATGTCTTTCCATTTTCTCCAGCAGCGGGCTTAACGTAAATTTTCAGGTCTATGGTCAAGCAAAACATGCTATCTCCCATGTGGAATGAGATATGGTGTGTCAAGAACATCCCCAGCACGGCTAACCTCCAAGTCAAGGTGATGGACAAAGATGAGGGGGTGACGGATGACTACTTCGGCAAGTTCTCCGTGAGAATCACTCCTGGGTCGAGATAGAAGGAACGGTGTTCAAGATTGCAAGGGGGACATTTTGGATCAAGGTGACCATCCTTTCTCACATAAAAAAAGTTGTAACTCATTATCCAATTCCAGATTGACAGCACGCCCTCACAGGACAAACACCACCTCCAATTCCCCTACCTCTTCGATGGCCCCATCCGTTACTCGCGACACTACTCCCCCACCGTCGGCCGCCTCACCAACCTCAACGACGCACGGCTCTACTCAACATGGAAGATCTTCCTCAAAGGTGTTCCCCTCTTCTTCCGGGACACCTTCCAGCCATGGAACCGGAACTACAAAGCCACGCAAAGCATCTTCCAAGGGGGCCCTGCCTCCCTCGCCGTACGGTCTGGAATCCAGGCAGGCCATCGGGTGTTATATGCCTGTACTGCGGACAATGCCTTTGGTATCATCGAGGATAGTAACGGAGTCCTGGAGCTATTACACACCAGTTCCCAGGACGACATAGGCCCGATTGCGCAAAGGGTGAAACCAGCAGTGTACACATACATCATCTCAGCCAAAGACGACTCGTTCCAGTTCTCCAAAACAGGTGCAGCCTTCTTCGTAGACTTTGCATCCAAACACGCCCTCCACAGCAACTGCGCAGAAGTCGTCTGATACAGCAGTGAGTTCCATCTGCGTCCTGAAGGTGGTTGGCAGAACTTCAATGACTCCACACCTGACGACACTGTAAAATGGGAATTTGTGATTGACAATAACTCAGGGACGTATGCGCCTGATAAGATGCTTCTTCCTGAGGTGAAGGAGTTGTTTGAGTACAATTTTCAAGGGTTGGTGGTGCTTGCGATGGATAGGGAGGATGAGAGGTTGGTGGAGAGTAGGGAGGTGTGTAGGGCTTATGCGCTCAAGTGGAGGGGGGTGAAGACAGATGAGCTGGAGCCCCATGTTAAGGAGGGGGAGGTTACGCTGTCGGAGAGCAGTGGGCAGCTGGAGGCCAGAAGATGATTTGTAGAAGGTGGAGATCTTGCTTCGTCATCCCCACAGCTACTCCTGCGAACATTCTTGCTGCTCCTGTTGAGCTTCAGTCAGTGCCGCCATCTCCCTTCCCACCCCGTTGCCCTCCTCGCTTGATGTGGCAGGAATGAATCCATGCTCCTCGATGATCATGATTTCCCGCTGAAGCACAGCACGTTCAGCTATTTGGGCTCTCCTTCGAAGGTCGCTCCTTAGATACATGGATACCCTTGATAGGATTCTTTAGGATACACATTCCATGTTATAGAAGGACTTACTTGAATTCTCGCATGTTTCCGAGTCGATTCAATGTCCGTGTTGCTGCCAGACCAACAAAAATGCAGCCATTTAAAGTTAAAAGGCAGATTGGCAGTCAGCTGTGAAAAGTGGTAAGTTTTCGATGTTTTTTGGCTATATTTTTGGTAAAGTGGGACTTACAAGTGGAACCTCCCCATAAATTTCATTATCAACAACAAACGAGTCCTATTTACAAAGTGTGACAAAACCAAACAAATGCGTCCTCTTGCCAAGTTACACAGCGAAATGACTGGTAAGTGCCAGGGTTTGGGTTATCTTATCTGCTGAGAACTTGGTGACATTTGCAGCTAGATTTCACAGGTAAGTTCATGAATACTCACATAAAGACAAAACTGACATCTTACTCTAGGCTGTAAATCACTGTTGAAGATGGCAAGGGCATAGTTGGCGAGCTGTTGAAGGCAGAGAAACGTGCACAAGGCGTTGATGCGTACTTGGGACATGGAAAGAAGTAAGTGATCATTCTACACTCGAATCAATGTAAAACTCACTGCAATGTGCGGCGGATTTGCAGACGATCAACAGCACCCTCAACATGCTTTACGGACATCAATTCGTCACACCGAGTCTTCGTAAGATCAATTAGAGGCAATGACAGCGAAGTTCAAAAACTTATGCCTTCCATTGAGGACCAAATCACACCTCGATGACGGACTGGCGTTGAAGGTGGCTAGGGCAGACTCAGTGACGTGGCAAAGCTTGGGAAACCTTCGAAAGTGGTGATGTGCATGAACACCCTTCAAAAAGAAGTAAGTTTATTACTTCAGCACTCCAAGCACCATAAACTCACTTGTATACGAAAGCTACAACGGGCGGCCGATATCAACGATTTGCCGAACATGGCCATGTTGTGGCGAGGTTTGGAGAGATGGCGATGTAACAATGCAAGTAAATGATCACACCACAAAGGTATGTTGAACCCTTTGCCAAATCTTCACAAATTGAGTGCATATCATCGTTCCAGCCCACAACATCAACTGAAAACAAACAAGTCATGCCCAGATAAAGTTGGTATGCGACCTGCGCTTAGACACGGTCTTTAGTGGACGGCGCTATGTCATGTCGTAACCTGGGAGATTCATGGCAAGATGGAACTGTTCCGAAGGCTGGAGGGTGGCGTGCGAGCGTTTTGCGGACGACGATGCATCGTCTTGGGACCAGGAGGGGTTCAGGGCGTTGGGAACAGTTGGAAAAACTTGGGGAGCATCGGACATCCGAGGTGATGTAACTCTGAGTGAATTTGTTTTCCTGGAAGGTCGGCGCTGGTGGGCATTGGTTTTGCAGACGAAAATCCATCGTTGTGGGCCTGGAGGAGTGCAGGGTGTTGTGCATAAGTTTTGAAGGAACAATTTAGCATGGCCACAGGGTATACAAGTGTTTTCCGGAAAACAATATATCATTTTCGAGTCAGGAGACGTGTACCATGACGTGGTGCAGTTGATAATGCGAAAAGGAAGCTAAAGGATGAGAGTAAGTCAGTTGGTTTCCTTGAACATATGCAGACACTAACTTACCTCTGCAGAGTCGACGTACCCCCGTTTAGCGGACGTCGATACATATAATCAATGTTGAGGCAGTCTTCAGCGATGCCAGGAACAGTGATGTGGATGTGGTGTACCTATTAGGGAAATGTCAACAATAACGATGTCGCAAATGTATGAGCAGACGAGAGTTCTATGATAAGTTGGTAAGTATCATCCTCGTCATCAAAAGAATAAATGACTTACATGCATTAAAAAAGACAACGGCGTGAGAGGTGCTTCGCAGTGCTCATCCTCCCTGTCACCCTCATCTTCGACTACAAAACTTGAACTGTGGGCCAATGGTCCGCTCGCCGCAGGGCTGAAACCCCAGAAAATAGCACAGAAATCTTCGAAAAAAGGTGAGTGTCAACACATATTTAACTACCAAAAAGAATAAATGACTTATGTCCATCTGAAAAGAGATCAGTGTGGCGGTGCTTCGCACCACTCATCCTTGAATGTGTCCTCCACCTTCATCTTCAACTACGAAGCTTGAACCGCAGGCCAGTATCGCAAAAAGGAAGCTGAAGATGAAAGTAAATCAGTTTTCTTCCTTGAACGTTCGTGGACACTAACTTACCTTGGCAGAGTTGATGTACCCCCATTTAGCGGACATCAATACATATAGTCAACATTGAGGCAGTCATCAACAATGCCAGAAACGGTGACATGGATGTGGTGTACATAGGGAATTGTCAACAATAATGATGCTGCAGATGTACAAGCAGATGAGAACTCTGTGATAAATTGGTAAGTATCATCCTCATCATCAAAAGAATGGATGACTTACATGCATTCAAAAAGAGATAGGCGTGAGTGGTACTTCACACTGCTCATCCTCAAACGTTCATCCTCAAACGTGTCATCCACCTTCATCTTCGACTACGAAGCTTGAACTGAGGGGCAGTGGTCCGCTCGCCGCAGGGCCAAAACCTCGGAAAATAGCACAGAAATCTTCGAAAAAAGGTGAGTGTCAGTACATATTTAAGTATCTGGAATACAAGCAAGGGCTTACCTTTGTTGAAAAGAAAGCAGGTGCTGCGCACCTCTTGCAAGGACCACAGATGATGATGGGCCATGGCCCAGAGGTAGGTTAACTGGCTTAGAGCGAAGTAACATATATGAAGGTTCACAAGGGACAAGACATTCTTGATGATGTCTTGAATGACAAGTACCATATGGAAACCGTAGGGAAGAGGGTCATTTGGACACCCTAGGAAGAGGAGAGGAGGAGGAAAATGGAGAAGTATTTTGAGAAGCTTTATACCTGAAGATGCCAAGTCCTACGGGGATCTGCAGGATCTTTTGGCCACGGTTAGGTTATTTTTGCAATGGCTTGGGCAGCAACCCTTTGGCTACCAATGGTTTCTCACAACTACAATCATGATCCCACTAATCTACCCTGACATCTCTCTAGCATCTCAGAGTTATTTCAGCCAATCAGAACTGATCTCAGTAAATTCAATGGCCTTCCTGGCTGCCACTGTTCTCTAGTTATTTTCTTCACTTAGTTCGTTGAAGTTCCCTCACAATTCATGCTCATTTCAGCAGAATAAAGTACCTGGCAGAGAACCACTGACAAGTACTTCATTCTGATGACATGGGCATGAACAAAAAAAAAATTGAACTGACCTAAACTCTGGCAATCACCAAGCTCACCGAGATTCTGAGATTCCAAAGTCTGAAATATTACCCTTGAGGCACACCATACAATCACAAAATGCCAGCTCATGGAATAATAATAACCCCGATGAGTGATCAAAGTGTATAGCAACATCATTTGGTCAGCATTTACAAGGGTTGCGAAATTCTGGACCCACAAAAGAATCCCGAGCTTTGAGTTGGGTTACGAGATTGAGATAAGGAGGGGTATGATGCCTTCCACTTACAGCAGTGATATGCTGTTGCTCAAGGGTGAGGCATGCAGTGGTAGATGGAACAGAGGTTGAAGGGGATGATGGGCATTGGAAGTGGCAGGCTGCGATGAAAGCAAGTTGTTTTGTGTTTGTGAATGAATTGGATAGAGGTGACAGTTCAAGAAGAGCAAGTCCACCCTTTGTGGTTGGTTGGTTGCGAAAGATAAGGGTTACAACTGGGAAAGGGCTAGACTGTGTTGCTGCTGCTGAAGCTAGTAAGGTTTTTGTCGCTGTGAAGCTGGGTTTGTGCATCCAAAGGTGATCTGACGAGTGGAGAGGCGAGGTATGTTTGTTTAATTTCTTACTTGTTTCGTTCATTTTATCTTTGTAGATCTTGCAGCGTCAAGCTCACTGCCACCTTGTGAAATCGACTCATATTCCGCAAATCACTCTGTTGTGGTTATATCAGGTGTGCTTTACTTTGTCTGCTCCTCAGCTTGTGAAAGAAAGGTGACTTTTGCTGCCAGCTGCATACAAGCCTGAGTTGTATTTGGCAACTTGAATTTGCCGTTTGTATTCATAACTTTTATTGCAATTTATGAACAAGAAGAATTTATTGAAACAATACCTTATTTGATACTAGTGATGTATTTACAGAAGTAGAGAAAAGAATCAAGTGAGCGCGTTGCTTGGTTGTGCTGCGCGTCGAGGATGAAGAGAGGGTGCGTGAGACAAAGAAAGGCCCATCTCCTCCTCCTCCGTTTCCGCTTCTTCCTCTTTGCGCACTCTTCATTTTTTCATCAAGGGTTCAGCTCTAGACCTGATTGATACTTCCTTCTATCCTCTCTAGCAACGCTCATCCCTTGATTTCTGAAATTCTTCTTGTTTCTCATTCCTTTGTCCAGGTCCCCGTAGTGAGTTCTAATTCTACAAAAAGTGCTAGCGCATTGCGGGTTTCTTCTGCCAAGGTTCTGCATCATAAATTAGTGCAATCAAGGGTCCTCCTTGACAGGCAAAACACGTCTCACCCAGCAATTTTGTGTGATCTATGTGGCGAATGTTCATTTGATGCTGGGTAGGAGGCCTCCTCCGTTTTCTACCAACCAATTGTCCATTCTTGTGTATCCCCCTATTGGATATTTTTCTAGGGGAGCTGATGCAGGATACTACATGGCTGTAGAATCTTTTTTCTTATAGTATTTCGACTTCGTTGAGTGATGCAATTCCGAATGCTAGAATCCTTCAACGTTCAACATCACATTTCAATCTTCACTTAAGTACGCACAAAAATACGCTTTTCCATTTTCATTTATACCAATTCACGACAACAAACTCAATCTATTCTACTACTATAACTGAATAAAACAATAAAATGAGGAACAGAGGGGAGAAGATACTTACACAAATTGCGAGCGGCATGTATCTCCGATCATCCATCTCCGGACTTGCCACCGCGATTCGTTTCCATCCCATCCATTGAATGTTCCGTTCCCTGACAGGTACGTGCTATTCGGATACGCCCGTACAGCCCTTTTGAATTTGTATAAAAGCCGGGCGACTTTGTTGTTAAATCTCCATTCCCTTCCTCCACTTCTCTCCTTGCTCCTCTGCTCCCTCTCGCACTCCTAGCTACTGTGGCCTTCTTCTTCACCACCATCTTCGTCGTTGAAATCTGTCAAACGCTCACTATGACCAGGTAAGTCTTTCAACGCTACTCTCGACGATGAGCAGGACTTGAGTACTAACCGGCCGGAATTTAGACCTTCTGGTCTAATCCTCGCTGGGTAATGTGGGTTGTTTATTGATTCTGGATAAAAAGGTACGTTAGTGTTTGATCCAACACAGGTGTTTTACTCACAGATGCACTTGCAGAAGTTCCTGTAGTCAACTTTACGAGTTAAAGGTGAGTATTTCTTTATTCCGCAGAGACATGCAGGTACTCACCATATGTTCCTGCCAGGCTTTCAGCCCCAGTGAAAACCCCCCCTGTTCAGATCGGGTTTGACCGGGTCAAATTGATTTACTTCTACATTTCTCGAAGTGTTCGATCTAATCTGAAATCCAACGATTTTTGGCCACCACTTAGAAAAATGGCCTAGTGCAGTCTATCCATAGCGTAAAAGTTAGAAATTTTTCAAGATTGATATCTGTCGCCAACCGAAAACCTCACGTCAGGAGAATCCAGCAAACTCTGTCAGGAACGAGAAATGTATATATTGAATTAGCTGACAAATCAGCTGCACTATGTATATCCCTCATTGTAAATTATCGGTCCCCTTCCGAACCCTCTTCTCAACCTTGCCTTGTGCATCCGGTGTTCATGCATCCATCAAGTACCCTGATCGTGTCCTCAATATCAACAAAATGACATGGCATTGTGAAAGAATTACCTTTAGCCGCTTCGCCTCAGCCTCATACACCTGAAAGAGAGATTATTGATCAGTAACTATGCGTGTATCTGTTCATAAAGCTGGAAAGGCACCTTCTTTTGCTCCGGAGATAATCCAGAAAAGTATTTGTTGAAGTCGTCCTTCGTACCACTAGGGTTCGTTTTCAACCACTCTCGGCCGCAAATGTTCCTACATGAAAGATAGTGAAGAGTGTCCAAGAACCCAAACACTCACACACACGTACCTTGCGGTGTGAGCAGGTCCTGGCCGAAACTTTGTCACCTTAGGCTTGTGTGCCCTGGACTCCTGCACTGGGCCAGGAACCGGTGCGCGAACTGGTGGAACAACGGCTGCTCCAGAGGGAGGCAGAACAAGGGGTTGCAGGTACGAGCTCGAGTTGACTGAGTCAGACCTGGTTTCTTTGCAGGACATAGAGGCCCTCATTGTGGAAACAGGAGCAAGTGGTTGGGATAGGGCCAAGTCAGAGGAACTAGATGACTTGGTATTGCTGCTGCGAGCACACACGTCGGAAAATGGAGGGAGTGGCTGCTGGGCAATGCTGGAGACAGGGGAGCTGGATGAATCCGCGCCGATTTCCTTTTCACATGAAGTGGAGCCATCGATGGGGCCGGTAAGCGATGCTGGTTTTTCTTGGGGGCTAACAGCAGCTCTGGGGTCATCTGTACAGCATAAAACGTTTCAAATCACACAATGATGCTTGAACTGAGCCACAATGCACGGGAAATAAGACTTACCTCTTAGAGGAGTTGGAGGCATCTGTGGGGTAGAAGCCAACGAAACCGACAACTGATTGGGAACCTGTCAATGCAAGTCAGTGATATATCAGATAAGTATGGCAACGCGTACATGACTGGAGAAGGCTGATTGAAGAGACGGTGCTGGATATGCAGAGGTGCCAACGCTCCTGATCAGCATGTCAACTTGTGTATCAGAGCCTTCCAGATCTTGATCGGTATTTATGCTCGCTGGTGTTTCGGATTCTCTTTCATGGACCGTACCATTGACCGAAGTTGACAGCTCCCAATCGTCGGAGGGCGGGCTGACAGTGAGAGCAGGGGTGTTGGATCTCGAAGCGGTTGTCGCGTGTTGCAGCCTGGTATCACCAATCTTGAGGGCAGTCTTTTCCTGCGTGAAAGTGGATGTAGCAGGCGGCACCAAGCAGCGGTTACTGGACAACATTGAGTCACTATGGTCGTTGATGGAATTTGTAACAGAAGGCGCTGGGGAGGCTATTCTCATCTTCTTACCCGCTGGCTCCGGAAGTTCAGATAATTCACGCCGTTTCACTGAAAGGAGTCGAGGGTCGCCGTCTTCTTGCTTCACTACGTGGTTTTCTAAATTATGAAGGGCCCAATTGGGATAGTTGTCAGTGGCAATTTGATCAGCTTTCCAGTCATATGCACAGAGTCGAAGCTCGGGGAAGCAAGAACACATTTCACACCGATACTGTTGAGAAGTCTCAATGTCAACTTTCCCCCATTTCTTTGGAGCCTTGCCTGACTGGGCAAGACAATTCCAGATGGACCGTGCACATTTTCGCATTTCACTCGCGCGATATCCGTCGACGACCATCCCGAACTGATCTTCTACGTATCGCATTGTAATGTTTTGTCCAGGCGTCGATTTTTTTCCACCTGCTCTTGTGGAAGATTTGCCGATTTTCGTTATGCCTATGTCTTGCTTTTGTTGATCGCTCCATGCCTGTTTGAACCAATATCGTATTTTTGGATATTGGCGCTGATCAAGGGTTTCTCCTTGCATGGAGTTCGAGGATGGAATAGTAGGTGGGTTTGAGAGACCGTTGGACATGTCGATGTTGCAGGGTTGCATTGACAAGATAGCGCCTGGTAATGAACTCGCAAGCGTTTGGTAGAGGCGACTGAATATTACAGCCTGTTGTCAGCTATCAGTCTGAACAAAATCTATGCTTACTTGATCGTTTGGTTCTCCGTTTTGAGAATCAAATTCTGCTCCTTCAATTTGCGGATCTCCTCACGTAAAGATCTATTATCTTGATGTCCAACGAACAGGCGTTGAAGGCGAGAGTCTTCCAATGGTGAATTGCTGCTATAGGAACTGGAGTGGCTTCGGTCAACGGCGTTGTCGGTAAGGTAAGTTTGGCTCCATCCAAGGTGAGACGATCTCTGCAGCAGGTCACTACTGGCGTCCATATCGAAGTCGATGGATCTAGCTTCACTGGAAATATTAGAGCCCTACAACCAATTAACCAAAGTCAATGCATCATATTGACAGGGGCGTTAGGGAGGCTCGAGGAGCGACGTGAAGTAACTCACACTGCTCTCATAACGGTGCATGAAATTGTGGCCACGTCCATTTTCATGTTGGCTACTATTTCTGTGCCGACGGCTGTTGTCCTGGTCAGAAGATGAATAGTTTCGTCCAATCCTGTTCAGATGAGGCACCAATGGATTAGCGTCTTCCTCATCAGTCACGTAACCGCCGTACAGCACAGCGGCGCTTGGGAAGGAAGTCATTGCAGAGATATGGGAGAAACGTGGCCAGACTACATTTGGATTTTCATAATACTTCGATTGAATACAAACACACATCAACAACATTTGGTGCAAGAGTCCCCGAGGCAATAGACGTCAGACTAGTAGGTTGTGAAAAGAAGATGCAGCTGAAACTAAAAATCATATTACGGAAGTAAATTTGAACTTCCTAGAAGGAATTGAGTACTTATTACCGAAATGACCCAGTGGCAAAAGTGCCTACCTCTGATTTTTGACTTGTCGGTTTTGGCGTGCTTCCTCGGCCGACCCTCATCTTCCTCTTCTTTCTCCAAAGCTAGCAGCCTCTCGTACTCAGTGTTGAACAAATTTAGCATCAGATTATGGTCAAGATGGGAACGGTCACAATGATTGTCAGTAAAGGTGGCAGCAAAGAGAGATCGGATGAAAGGATGGAGTTGATTGAAGTAGGGATCCATTTTCTTTATGAAGGTCCTTTCGAAGTCGCAGAAGTGTCCCATCTTGATGTGTGCCATCTTACTGAAGCAGGTTTGCATCACATTGAGATCAAACCAATCCAGTATAGCGGGCATGCTGGGCAATGCAAGGAAGTCCGCTTTGTTGCGGGTGGCGCCGGGGCCTTTGAAGGCCATCAATGCATAGAGAAAAGCATAAAAGATGGATTCGAGATCATGTTTGTCTTGATGCAGCTCAGTGCCCAGCAATAGGGCGGTGGCGATGAACAGGGGTGTTCCCTGTGTTAGGGTTATTTCAGCTCATGGAAATAAAATTATATGTAAGACTTACTGTCTGTTCCATTGCAAGCTGAACGTCGTCGAGCATGGTTCCTGATTCCTGGATTGTTCGCTTACGCTTAGAAGCCACCTGCGCATCCTCTAGCACTGCAACAGTTTTGACAGGTGACCCGGGGGGTGCTAGTGAGGAATTTATATCGTTATCATCAATGACATCTACTGCTTTGCGTCCGTAGGTGTCATTCTTTTGCTGGTACAATGCATGATCGAAGTCGATGAGGAGGCCTTTGCGGTTCGGCGATGTACCCTGAAGCATAATATTATTGAGACTGATGTCCCGATGTAAAACGCCTCTCGCACATGCGTCACGATGGGCTGTGTTTAAATTGTAAACCAAATATACACACTTGAACAAAATTTACTCACCAGCAATAACATCTTGAAAAGCGCCAATTAATTCCGACAGCGTTTCAAAATGATGGACCTTGATTCCAAGTGTCCCCATAACAAGCCGACGATGCTTGCGGGTCCGATAGTTACTGGGCGCTATTTCGCGACGAACTCTGTCTGTCGTGTCGAAAGTGTCAGCTTTAGGCTTATCACCATATTCCCATGTCTTTACAGTTATTGCCGTTATAACATTGGGTACCCCAGTCACATCTTTCAAGCGTGCAAGCATCTCAGATTCTTTTGATGCTTTAGCGACAGAAGGCCAAGCATCTTTGATGATGACAGATTGCTTGGGGTCGGTGGAGCTATGAGCCTGCCACACTCTGGTGCATCGCCCAGTAAGTCCTGTGGCGACATGAAGCTTTTGGTCCACGATGTAAGTCACTTTAGACTTAGTTCCTCGCACAACGATTGATACGACATCGCCGTTATCATTGAGGGACACAGTTGGGTCGAATCCTAAAAAGACCTCGTCTCCACACATGAAACCCGCAATAACACGCAAGACTGCATAACCATTGGTAGCTGTCTTGAGAGGGATCTTCTCGAATACAACTCCCTCGCGATCGATAAGGGTCAACCGAAGAGTTATGGAATCATTCTTGCCATAAAAGGCGATGGAGGGTACAAACCGGTAGGACTCTTGTGAGACGAACAGAGCATGTGATTTGGTGTATACAGTCTGTCGAAGAAGGGTATGGTAGGTGGCCTGAGTTGTCACCTCACCAAAAGCAGTGATATTGCCCCAAGATGGTGGGGGTCGCGTTGTTGATCAGGGTTTTGGTTGGTATGGTTGTTGGTGTCGTCGATAAAGCGATTTGAGAATAAGGTCAGGTTTGGCCTTGATGTTTGAATCGGAACTCCCCGCTTTGAGCGGGGCTGTGCACGCTTCTGCGCTCCATGTTCGCAAGAGGCGTACCCCCGTCACATCCGAGAAGTTCTGGCCAATCGAGTTCAACCACTTGGCCACATTGTCCTCCGAGCTGAGGTCAAGATGGCATTTCCATTTGCATTCCATTGCATCCCAAGTATCATGCATTTTGTGTAAAAGCGATACATCAAATTTGACATCTTTGAGTGATCCTCCTGAGAACAAAACTTTAGAGAGCACGAAGGATTCTTTGACAAGTTTGGTGCGAAGCTCCTTGGTGAAAAAAATTCCCATCTCACGAGCGCTGAGCTGCACAGGGTGGACGCCATCGCAGCTTGATACACTCCCCTTAATTCTGACTGGTGATTCGGAAATGAAAGAGGGAGCAGAGAGGGGGAACTTGGCAGACCCGATCTCGAGCCTGCTGAATGAAGAGGAGGGAAAGGAGGCGGCCACGCTGCCATAGGGGGAAAAGGGTTGATCGTAGGAGAAGGGTTGATCGTAGGAGAAAGAGGCTTGTATGCCGGTACTCATGCGGGTAACCGAGCTGGATGACTGTGACTGGGGGGGCGTTAGCAGGTAGGTTGCAGGAGAAGGGTGCGCACAGAACTGTGTTGGGCGGGTCCATAACGTTGGAACTCCACAGGGGAATACAATATTGAGCGTTGATGGGAATATGGCAGGAAGAGAAGTCGCAAGGTGAAGACAGGTTACGAAGGTGGGAGACAAGGAGAGTGGGGGCGGTGCAAGTGGAAGAGGAATCTATCAATCGATATCGACAAACAAAAACCTTCCATCTTTAGAAGCGTACCTCTACAAACAAGCAGTAACCTAAGTAGATAACCAATACAACTACAACCTGATATCCTTGTACTTATTCGTCTGCAGGCACTTCCTCTTCTTGCCCTGCAAGTTCTGCCACCTCCAGTCCAGGTTTTTCAACAACAAAGTAACGCTGTTCCGATTCTGCGCCAAATGGTTGGTGTGGGACCATGGCGATCATAACGGCACTGATATGTTTTACTTCGATGACTTTCACAGAGTCGCCTGCAGTGCACGATCGGAGAGTATTGAAAGTCGCTTTTAAGAGGTCGGGATTAGGAGGGGAGTACAGAGAAACCATTGCGAGGGTTTGTTCAGATGTATCCTGCAACTCAAGGCAGAAGTAGTAGAGAACTTCTCCAAATGTGTCGGTGGCATCCCCCGAAGTTTTTATCTAGATTTTGAAAATTCCGTCAGCCAAGAACTAGGGTGCAGACTGAAACATGACTTGCGAGAACGTTTTGGGCCATTCGAACCTTTTCGAGCGGCTTCAGCTTTTCCTTCCAAGCTGATCGAGCAACCTGCCCATTTGGTAACCGCAACCGAGCCCACCGCAATACCTTTGGTGCCCAGCCCTCAGGGAAATCTTTGTTATGGGTGCTGTGAAGGTATCTCTGAAGTGCTTGGCTTTCGGCAACATCCATTTGGCGCGCAGTCCTATCTCGAGCTCTCAGTAAGATATAACCGTCCCCTAAATCTTTGGCGCCTCGAGGAATACTGTTGTCTAGTCCTTCGAGATCTGGGATCATTGCCTTGAGTGTGTTTACCTGCCACTACCTGTAATACCTGGCATCTCTGCAATGCTCTTTGAGACAGGTTGGCATAAGGATTGACGTGACACCTAATCTCCATGCCCAAGCTTCCAATTGTGTGTTCCATGGTCCACTGAGATGTGCAGATCAGTGGGCCAAGGCGAAGAGCTTCTTCTGCTAAGTGAATCAAAGCGTGAATACTTTGACGCACAAAGTGAAGGCGATCAGTGCGACGTTGATAGTAAAGAACCTCGAATTCATGAGCAAATTCTACCAAGGCCTGGTGTGCCCTTTTCAGATCGTTAACTCTGATCTTGTGTTGGTTGATTATGCGGACAGCAAGTATTAGTTTGCAAAAGTGGCGATAGTAGATGGTGGGAAGAACATTGTAAAAGACACCTGGGCCGAGGCCATAAAAGTACAGGAGAAACTCCCAAGCTTTATAACCACTGGAAATCTTTTCAGCCGGGTTGCGGGGTGGACGGTCAAACGAGCCAGGTAGGTAGGGTGTGGCAGCTGCAACATCTCTGCCATGTGCTTCCCATACAGCTCCCTTGAGAACAGCCCAAGTCCATGTGGTACGATCATCGGTCTTGTCGCAATCAAAAGTCCCTCGCCAAAGTGGAATAAAAAGATCAGGGACATTGAGTGCAAGGAGGTGCATAATAAAATGGATCCGCGAGTCCCGCGGGGTTAGGCTCGCTTCGCACAACTAGTTTGTTGCACTCAAGTTTTTTAGACCCTTGAATAATACGACTGTGACGACAGTTCCCACTGCGGAGGCCTGGGTCGAGGTGGCCAAAGTCGCGTTAACGAGGATTAACGCAACTCTGTCCCGACTTCGAAAATGAATGCTAGGGGGGAAACAACTAAAAAAAAACATGTAATAAGACATCCAAGATGTGTAAATGACTCTGATGCAAACGTTGAAACAGTCTAGCTCTTCTTATGTCATTTCAGAAGATTGTTGAAAATGCCACCTAAGTTTGAGGGCTGATTTAACATGCAATACATAAGACAATGTGCATTTTTTTGTGATAGGTGCGTAAAGGTATACTTCATGAACATACTTGCCAAGTTTCATCTGAATAGTTCCAGAAATCCATGAGAAATCCATGAAACACTCTTTTTCCCCACCAAAAGTTTCGACCTTTGCGAATGGAAAATTTGTACTTGTTTGTCCGGACTTTCAGCGCTTTAGTGAAGGAATGCTCGCTTCGCTCGCAATCAGGCCCAAAACAACGTGGGAGAGGAGTTTTATGTCGAGGATTTAGCCCGAGAATCAGACTGGGCTTGCATATGCCACTTTCCAAGCGTCGCTTCTTGTATTGTGTTTCATTAGGTGATGCCATGAGGTAACGAAGAAGTCGTTCAAATTCCTCAAGTGAACGGGGTGGTGGGTTCTCATAGCTGTAGTCGCCGTGATCACATCCAGCGACACTGTAATTGTGTGGCTTGTAAAATGCAGGGTAGTAATGTGACACTCCAGGTTTGTGTCGACCAATAAGGGAACAAAAGACACGACAGCCGTTCTTTCCATGGTGGCCAACAAAACCGTTCAAGTAGACGAGGCCGGGCCCATCCGCCGCACCGATAGCAAAGAACAACTTGGAAATTGCAACAAGATCTTGAGAAGCATCCCATATGCGAAGTCCTTCGTTCTGGAGTGCTGCAACATGGTGCAGTCCAGGAAAGAGAAAAGAATCTGGTTTCTTGGGTTTATTGGGGCCCGGGATAACAGCGCCAGGAAGGACGAATTTCTTCTTGTAACGGATCCCGGGATCAAGATCCATAATGACCCATATGTATATCCAGCAATCTGATTGTTTGTTCCGATAAAGTTGTGCCCCGTCAAACGAAAGCATGAGGACCATGTCATTTTCTTGAATGCGGCCGTCACGAACAGCCTCAATATAATCCGAGCCATAGAAATAGTCGTCAATAGTAGGGAGGCTTCCGTTATTGTCACGGAGCAACTCAGCAAGCTTTGCATTGAGCTTTCGTCGATGCTTCATTCGCTCAGCGCTGTCTTTGTCCCTCCACAATGCCTGGAGCTGGGGTCCAATGGGAATGGTGTGGAATGTTTGGCGCGCTTTTTTGGTGGAGGAATCCCACCTCGCCTCTCCACATATGGGACAATGATGCAGGTCTGCAAAGGGGCCTGTATACGCCAAACAGGTTTTGATACACATGTCGTGCTCCATGGCTTCCACACCCGTTATGTCGGCTATACGGCGTTTAACTTGATCATAGGTTGGTATTTTGTCATCTGGGTGACGCCGTAGAATAGCCTCTCGGGCAGATGTATAAGTTTGCTGTGGACTGTTGATAACCGAAATGAATAGATCTAACCCAAGGCGAAGATCGGGGCAATTGATATTCACTGGGGAAGTTGGAGGGTTGCGCAAGCGGCTAATAACATCGGACGAAAGGCTCGAGAATTCATCATCTATTTTTGCATTGTCTAGTGCACGGATAAACACCATAGATTCCTTGATATCTGATAACTGCACCAAGTCCGAAAGGCCTTCTAGATCGATGTCCTCGAATAGAACACGAACATCCTCTGCAAAAGCCTGATCTCCGGATGGTCTTGAATCATCTTCGAGGCTCCCCGGATCATGACTTGGTTGGGTCGACACTGAAGCTGAAGCCTCCAAATATGCGGAGCCTGCGTCATCCAAACTGACTATCGCCGGCGCGTATCCCGTGTCCCTCGTCAGAGTGATAGAGGATGTAGGGCTTTGAACAAGATTGCTATTGATACCGTCCTGTAATCATATGAGCTAAAGGAAGGAACAAGGAAATCCAAAGCCCTTGCACGTACCCGGAGGTCCATCGATTGAGCCATTCCGACATGTGTGTCCGCCTCAAGATAAAGGGTGTCCGTGCCCTCGTGGTATGCAGGAGGTGAAGCTGTCGAACTTGTGTTCGGTAGATTAGATTGGCTGGGTCCGGGGGATGGCGCGGGCGCCAAGAAGGCCATAAACTCAGCAGAAAATAAGAGTTCCTGGTCGCGGGAAGCTGTGTGCCGTCTGTATGTGCGCCCAGAGACAGGTATTCGCTCGCCATGACAATAAGCAAGGCAACCACATATGCGATCCAGGTCTTCATATGGCGTTGAATTTGAACGTGAATCCTTCGTTCTGTTCTTCAGCGATGGTGCCATTATGAATCTGGTGCAGACAAGAAGCGTGGACTTATGTGTGGTGGTGCCGGTGAAGCTGATAGAAAATCAAAAAATCTAAGGCACTTACCGTGGACTCCATTGGCGCACTCTGTGTACAACTGGCGTCGTTCTATGCAGATCGAAGTAATCTCTGCCATGATAGATTGTTACAGGTTGTTGTTCGACTCAACACAAGTGAAAATAGTGGTTGTAAGCTGGGGTTAGGTCTGGTAAGCTAGCGTAAGGCCTGGACTCGATATGCCCAGATTAGGTCAGGGGGGGTTTTCACTGGGTTTCAGCCCCGTGAGGAGTGGGCCTCGATAAACCCCCGGGGATTTATTAACGGAAGCAGGGATTGCGTGACCGACGTCGCGTAACAACCTCTAGATATCCCACCCATCAGTAAGTGTCATAAGTATCGTGTTCTTTCATTGACTTACCTCTTGCATGTACAGAGTGCAGCATCTTTTCAATGTCGTCTATGCCGTCCGCGAGATGCGCCACGCACTCAGACAGCTGCCAAAAAGAGGTTAATACACGCGTATGCTAAGTCAATCGAGACCATGCACTTACACCCCGCTTTTCGAAGTTTTGCGCCTTGTTTATCCTGAGGTCTCGGCCCCGCGGCGAGCAGATGCCTCGGTTCTCAGCAAAGGGCGGTATTGAGTCTACCCAACCCCGTACGCATCATCGTCGTTTATGTGGAACTTTTGTAGAGGTGTTCGAAGAAGGTCAGAGGTGTGTACTTACACCTTGTCTCAAGGGAGGGGCGGTGCGAAGCTGTTGAAACACAACGTGGGTCATGTATTTTTACGGTATGCGAAGAGCACTTACTTCTTGGTCGCCTGTAGCTGTCCTTCATTCTTGCGTCCACCGGACGCGTGTATATGCGTTCCTCGCCATCCCAGGCGCCGCAGGGGTCAATCTGTGTTGTTGACATCACTCTGTTGTTGTTCGTCGTCGGAACGCTGGCTCTGACAAGGTATTTCATCATCGTTTCATTTGACGTGAACGTATTGACTTACAGTTCTCATGTAGACGTTTCCCTTTGTCCGAAGGCGTGTTCCGCTCTTTCGGGTCGAGATACGTCGTCTCCGCACTTTGAATCAACAATGGCGATGTTTGAGGCGTCGACAGAGTCAAAGCACGCTAAACGTCAAGGTACGTCAGTACACTTCTGAAGATTATCGTGACATTGACATACAATCCAGAATGCTCCATGAGAAGTGTCGAGTACTTGGAAAGGACTATGGTTGTTAGTGTTGTGCAGAATATCAAATGCGACGTAAGTACTCACTTTGATTCACCTCCCCATGTGTAGACGTTGACTTTCGAAGTCTTCCGAGAGAGTGAATGCGCAACTACGAAGGTATGTGAGTGTCATAATGATTTGCAGGAGCGTACCTTCATGGTTCAGCGTGTCCTGGCTCCGTTGACGCCCCCAAAACAATGCCATTGCTCGTTTGAAGCCTCGGGAAGACGTGTCGCCGTCCGTAAAACTGGTACATGCAACCCAAAACGTGGCTCCATGCGAAGTGCCGAGTACTTGGAGGGGACTATGGCCGTCGGTGTTGTACATGATATCCAACACGACGTAAATACTCACTTTGGGTCACCTTGCCTCGTGTAGACGTTTGCTTTTTAAGGCTTCCGAGGGAGTGATTGCGAATCTACGAAGGTATGTCAAAGTCATGACAATCTGCAGGAGTGTACTGACGTACCTTGATCGTGTAGCGTGTTCTGACTCCGTTTACGCCTCCGTAGCCCCCTAAACGTCGCCATTGCTCGTCGAGACGACGTATCTCCGTCCGGAAAACTGGGACACGCGATACGGAACGCGGTTCCATGCGAAATGCCGAGTACTTGGACACGACTATGGTCGTCAGTTGTTCTGCATGGTGTCCAGTGGGACGTAAGTACTCACTTTGGGTAACCTTGGCCCATTCTTCACACCCCAGCAGCGTATCTGCTCGTTGTCTGTAACCCTGCGCCCTTCTAGCGGCGTTCACGCATTGGATTGCACGTCCACTCTTCGCGTTATCGTTGCCTCGCTCATCTTCTCGTTTGTCGGTTTGTTGTAGCTGATAAAACGAAATCTGATAGCTGAAAACTTGTATGAAGTGATTGTGGTACTCACTGTTGCGCATGATTGAGATTGTATGTTATGCGTGTCCTTGCGTGCATCGTTGAGTGTTGAGCTTGATTTGTCGTTGGATACTTTTGGCTGTCCTTGTGTGTATCGTTGAGTTTTGAACGTTGAACGTTGAGCTTGAATTGTCGTTAAATTGGGGCGTCACTAATTATCACGACGTCACGACTGCCCATCATCGAAGATGCCAAGGCTGATGACGACAGCACTTATGTGGGCCGATTTANCGGGATCTCCCGGATCCCCGCCGCTTTCGGAAGGTGCACGTGACCACGTGACCTGGCGCGTCGCGTCCTTCTCCCATTTCTCCTCCTCCCCCGCCGCTTCGACCCGCCGCTTTGTCCCCTCCCAAAATTTAGCTTGTAGTGCACCATTTTGTATTTATTATACATCAAAATGCTATTTTTTTCCCAGTTCCGGCTTTCCTTTGAGCAAATATGCAGCCTTTGTCCAAAATGGACCTTGCGGCGCGTCCTTGATTGGGGCCTGGGTGCTGTTGAATTTTCGGGAAAAATACAAAAATTGCATAATGCCTCCAATGCATCTGCAGCTACATGTCTACCGCTTTTTTTGCTCTTTAGGGGGATGTTTGATAGGTGGTTTGCTGCAAGGACCTGAAAATAAGTGGGATAAGTACACATAAGTCGGCATAAGTGCTTATGCACGATGGATTTAGCTTAAATCAAGTTCAATTTAGTGGATTTAAGGCCCTGTGATGCCAACCAGCTCAATTTAATGTGCATTTCCATGAGCTGGCCTATCCCTGCACCCGATTTAAGGGTTTTTCGGCTCAGGGACCTAACCCTCTGCTATATCACATCAGCTGAATGTTTGTGTTCCGTCATTAAGCCTTAAATTCATGTAATGCACATAATATTTGCAGGTAATAATATTTACATGAGATGTAGTATACTAGGGGGGCAAAAAAGAACTTTCAGAACTAAACCTGGCCTTCCATTTCCCCAGACTGACGAGATCTTCGAGAGCGCGCCTCAACATACGTGGGAGAGCGCAGGAGTCAGGTGGAAGGAGGGCCACATGGAGAGGTTTGAGCGTGAGGCGGGGATGGTGCGTGGTGGTATGGTGAGGTAATTTCGGGTGCTGCTCGCTTTGGAGAAGGAGGGCAGGCAATGCGGGTGCCAGTCGTGATGATGGAAGGGGGACAGCTGGAGATGAGTGGGGCGAATGGGTTGCTTGTGAGACGGATGGACTGGGTAGGTTCGGATGGGCTCCAAATATTGCGTCGGGTGTGGGTTGAGGCATCAGACTCGGGACAATATGGGTGAGAGGCGATGTCGTGATGAATTTGCATGGTGACTGTTGATGGGAGAGACGCTAAAAAGCGCGGGAAACGATGGGTGTGGAGAGTGAGTGTGGGCTGTTGTGCGTGTGTGCAGTAAATCATGGAAAGTATATATTATCAGTCAATGCATTGTAGCATTGAATTTTCAGACGTACCTCATAGATCACCCGCTTCACGGGCCTTCTCTTGTGTTCCATCTAATCCCCACTGCCCGATGTATGTTGCAGTGCATCGTTTCCCATTCCAACGCGCTACGCGCAAATCATGCTCGACCGCACAAACGCGATGGCCTCTTGAAGGCGAGAACGCGATGGGAGCTGGGCTTCACGTGGCGTAGCGTTGAGCGCGTTGCCTGGAGGGGGTTGGCCGCAGCAAGAGGGGGTCGAGAGATGGAGGCGAGAGGAATGGGATGGAAGTCAGGGTAGAAGGGCTTTGGAAGAAAATGATTTCTCACGGAAAACAGAATCCGGTGACAGGCGCAATTTATCGAATTTAACATTCAGTGGCTTAAATCGAGTGAAATAATTGTACTTATGTGGGCCGATTTAACGGGATCTCCCGGATCCCCGCCGCTTTCGGAAGGTGCACGTGACCACGTGACCTGGCGCGTCGCGTCCTTCTCCCATTTCTCCTCCTCCCCCGCCGCTTCGACCCGCCGCTTTGTCCCCTCCCAAAATTTAGCTTGTAGTGCACCATTTTGTATTTATTATACATCAAAATGCTATTTTTTTCCCAGTTCCGGCTTTCCTTTGAGCAAATATGCAGCCTTTGTCCAAAATGGACCTTGCGGCGCGTCCTTGATTGGGGCCTGGGTGCTGTTGAATTTTCGGGAAAAATACAAAAATTGCATAATGCCTCCAATGCATCTGCAGCTACATGTCTACCGCTTTTTTTGCTCTTTAGGGGGATGTTTGATAGGTGGTTTGCTGCAAGGACCTGAAAATAAGTGGGATAAGTACACATAAGTCGGCATAAGTGCTTATGCACGATGGATTTAGCTTAAATCAAGTTCAATTTAGTGGATTTAAGGCCCTGTGATGCCAACCAGCTCAATTTAATGTGCATTTCCATGAGCTGGCCTATCCCTGCACCCGATTTAAGGGTTTTTCGGCTCAGGGACCTAACCCTCTGCTATATCACATCAGCTGAATGTTTGTGTTCCGTCATTAAGCCTTAAATTCATGTAATGCAAAA